CTGATCCCCTCACCCCCTGATCCCTCACCCCTGATCCCTCACCCCCTGATCCCTCACCCCTGACCCCTCACCCCTGATCCCCTCACCCCCTGATCCCCTCACCCCCTGATCCCCTCACCCCCTGATCCCCTCACCCCCTGATCCCCTCACCCCCTGATCCCCTCACCCCCTGATCCCCTCACCCCCCTGATCCCTCACCCCCTGATCCCCTCACCCCCTGATCCCCTCACCCCCTCACCCCCTGATCCCCTCACCCCCTGATCCCCTCACCCCCTGATCCCCTCACCCCCCTCACCCCTGACCCCCCCCCCTGATCCCCCCCCCTGATCCCCTCACCCCCTGATCCCCTCACCCCCGTCACCCCCCTCACCCCTGATTCCCTCACCCCCTGATCCCTCACCCCTGACCCCCTGATCCCCTCACCCCCTGATCCCCTCACCCCCTGATCCCCTCACCCCCTGATCCCCTCTCCCCCCCTCACCCCCTCACCCCCTGATCCCTTCTCCCCCTGATCTCACCCCCTCACCCCGTCACCCCCTGATCCCCTCACACTCTCACCTCTTGATCCCCTGACACTCTCATCCCCTTATCCCCTTACACCCCCTCACCCCCTCATCCCCTCACACCCTTATCCCCTCACACTCTCACGCCCTTATCCCCTCACCCCCTGATCCCCTCACACTCTCACCCCCTGATCTCCTCAACCCCGCTCAGCCCCCCGTAGCCCCTGATCCTTTCTCACTCTCACCCTTGATACCCTCTCACTCTCACCCCCTGATCCCCTCATACCCCTCACCCCCGATGCCTTCACACTCTCATCCCCTGATCCCCTCACACTCTCACCCCCTGATCCCCTCATACCCCCTCACCCCCGATGCCTTCACACTCTCATCCCCTGATCCCTCACACTCTCACCCCCGATCACCTCACACACTCTCACCCCTGATCCCTCACACACTCACCCCCTGAAAGCCTCACACACTCTCACCCCTGATCCCCTCTCACACTCTCTCACCCCTTTGATCCCGTCTCATACTCTCTCACTCCCTGATCCCTCTCACACTCTCAGCCTCTGATCCGCTCACACACTCTCAGCCCCCGATCTCCTCACACACTCTCACCCCCTGATCTCCTCACACACTCACCCCCGATCTCCTCACACTCTCTCACCCCCTGATCTCCTCACACACTCACCCCCTGATCTCCTCACACACTCTCACCCCTGATCCCCTCACACTCTCACCTCTTGATCCCCTGACACTCTCATCCCCTTATCCCCTTACACCCCCTCACCCCCTCATCCCCTCACACCCTTATCCCCTCACACTCTCACCCCCTGATCCCCTCAACCCCGCTCAGCCCCCCGTAGCCCCTGATCCTTTCTCACTCTCACCCTTGATACCCTCTCACTCTCACCCCCTGATCCCCTCATACCCCCTCACCCCCGATGCCTTCACACTCTCATCCCCTGATCCCCTCACACTCTCACCCCCTGATCCCCTCATACCCCCTCACCCCCGATGCCTTCACACTCTCATCCCCTGATCCCCTCACACTCTCACCCCCGATCACCTCACACACTCTCACCCCTGATCCCCTCACACACTCACCCCCTGAAAGCCTCACACACTCTCACCCCCTGATCCCCTCTCACACTCTCTCACCCCTTTGATCCCGTCTCATACTCTCTCACTCCCTGATCCCCTCTCACACTCTCAGCCTCTGATCCGCTCACACACTCTCAGCCCCCGATCTCCTCACACACTCTCACCCCCTGATCTCCTCACACACTCACCCCCGATCTCCTCACACTCTCTCACCCCCTGATCTCCTCACACACTCACCCCCTGATCTCCTCACACACTCTCACCCCTGATCCCCTCACACACTCACCCCCTGAAAGCCTCACACTCTCTCACCCCCTGAACGCCTCACACTCTCTCACCCCCTGATCCCCTCTCACTCCTTCACCCCTGATCTCCTCACACACTCTCACCCCCTGATCCCCTCTCACACTCTCTCACCCCTTTGATCCCGTCTCATACTCTCTCACTCCCTGATCCCCTCTCACACTCTCAGCCTCTGATCCGCTCACACACTCTCAGCCCCTGATCCCCTCACACTCTCTCAACCCCTGATCCCCTCACCACCTGATCCCCTCACACTCTCTCAACCCCTGATCCCCTCACCCCCTGATCCCCTCACACTCTCAACCACTGATCCCCTCACACCCCCTCAACCCCTGATCCCCTCACACTCTCACCCCCTGATCCCCTCACACTCTCTCCCCTGATCCCCTCACACTCTCACCCCCTGATCCACTCACACTCTCTCCCCCTGATCCCCTCACACTCTCATCCCCTGATCCCCTCACACTCTCTCCCCCTGATCCCCTCTCACTCTCTCACCCCCTGATCCCTTCACACTCTCATCCCCTGATCCCCTCACACTCTCACCCCCTGATCCCCTCACACTCTCACCTCCTGATCCCCTCACAGTCTCACCCCCTGATCCCTTCACTCTCTCACCCCCTGATCCCCTCAAACTCTTACCCCCTGATCCCCTCACACTCTCTCACCCCCCTTATCTCCTTACACTCTCACCCCCTGATCCCCCTCACACTCTCACTCTCTGATCCTCTCACACCCCCTCACCTCCTGATCTCCTCACACTCTCATCCCCTGATCCCCTCACAATCTCTCAACCCCTGATCCCCTCACACTCTCACCCCCTGATCCCTTCACACTCTCATCCCCTGATCCCCTCACACTCTCATCCCCTGATCCGCTCACACTCTCATCCCCTGATCCCCTCACAGTCTCACCCCTGATCCCCTCACACTCTCATCCCCTGATCCCCTCACAATCTCTCAACCCCCGATCCCCCTCACACTCTCTCACCCCCTGGTCCCCTCACACTCTCACCCCCTGATCCCCTCACACTCTCACCCCCCTTATCCCCTACACTCTCACCCCGATCCCCCTCACACTCTCTCACCTCCTGATTCCCTCACACTCTCTCACCCCCTGATCCCCTCACACTCTCATCCCTTGATCCCCTCACAGTCTCACCCCCTGATCCCTTCTCACTCTCTCACCCCCTGATCCCCTCACACTCTCTCACCCCCCTTATCTCCTCAAACTCTTACCCCCTGATCCCCCTCACACTCTCACCTGCTGATCCCCTCACACTCTCTCACCCCCTTATCCCCTCACACTCTCACCCCGTGATCCCCCTCACGCTCTCTCACCCTGTGATCCCCCTTATACTCTCTCACACTCCGATCTCCTCACTCTCTCATCCCTGATCCCCAAGTCATGTTGCCTGACATATGTAGATAAAAAAGCAGAATATAACCAGGGGGTAACTGGAAACAAAAGTGGCTGCTCGATTGTCAGTCTGGTGCAGTGGTAGCATTCTCGTTTCGGTGAGTCAGAAAGTTCTGGGTTCAAGCCCCACGTCGGGAATCATACGGTCAAAAATGACACTCCAATGTAGTGCAGGAGTGATGTTAAACCTTCGGGTGAGACATTAAACCGAGATCTCAAACTGGCTGTTCAGGTGGAAGTTAAAGATCCCAAGGCACTATTTGAAAAAAGAAGGGAGTTTCTCAGTGTCTTCGCCAACAAATCCCACAAATAAATTGGTCACTCACTCCATTCTTGCTTGTGGGACACTTCCGTACGCAATTGGCTGGTGCATTTCACCTACAGAATACACGGTCAATCCATATAATCAATTTACAGTGTATCATATGAAGCGGTTTGAGAGATTGTGATGACGTAAGGTGCTATATCAAATGCAAGGATGATGGTAGAGTGGGGGACTTGCAACAGGCCTGTGTTGGGTGAGTGGACAAGATGAGCAGAGGAGTGGGGTACGAAAAGATCAGAGATAGGGAGATGCTCGGCCATGAAGGAATTTATACATGAGGGTGAAGACCTTGAAATTGGTCCGTTGATATTGTAGGGTCAAACCCCAGGTCAGGACTTGAGCACCTGCAGTTTGGTGTGTTGAACACCGCATTATCGAAGGTGCGTCCTTCAGATGAGAAGTCTTGCGTCTGTTCTCCAGATAATAATAGTAACCTTTGCATTTGATGTAGCACCTTATCGTGTTGTCGAGAGCTTCACAGGATATACGGTAAAGTCTAGTGACTGCATGTTTTATGGATGAAATGTGGCAACCAATTATGCCAAGCAGATAAATATAAATATAAGATCCCTTGATACAAGAGGGAAGATTCTCCTGGCGCCCTGACCAACATTCCTTGAGTTGAATTGGTAAACATGTTGCACGTAGCAAAGTATTTATGGGGCGTTTGCTACGTGCAACACGTTTACCGCATCTGTCTACACTTGACCATAATTACTATAAAAAACGAAATCTCAACTGAGGTTTCATTGAAGCGTTTCATCGAGATAAGGCACTATAAAAATGAATAGAATGATGCATGGAACAAGAGCTTGTACTATGTATGTAGCATCTTCGTGTAGGATAACATCTCAGAATGCTTTATAGTGCTGGAAATAAACACAGTGAGTAAGGGAGAGGGCAGAGTGAGAGGTGATTGGAGGCTGATATTATTTAATAATAATTTGTATGTATATAGTACCTGTCACATAATGGAACATCACAAAGTGCTTATGTGGAATAAGGATGTTTAGCTAAGCATTGTAAGCCGAGACCTTGACCTGCAGAGAGTTGACATATCACTCGTATTTGTGAGATTTAGTTTTATCAAAGAAGAATGTGGCCTGAAAAAAAATGCAAATAGACTTATAATGATATTAATCATATATTCATTATTATGAAATATTAAATGATTATATTATTAATAATCCTTGCACCTGATCACCACCTTTCATGTTAGGAGGACGTCTCGAGGCTGTATCACAGGATATATTGTGCAGTGTAGTAGTGTAGTATTTTGTGGAGAGCCATGGCAGCTAATTTGCAAACAAACTGTAATGTAGGCTCTTCGATTTTATCTGGGGCATTGTTGACCAGAACATCAGGAGAAATTCCCTTTTCTTTTCAAATAGTGCCATGGGATCTTTAACATCTGCCTGAACAGTGAAATGAAAGTGTCAGTCTAGACCGTATGAGCTCAAAGTCCCGACGTGGGACTTGAACTGACAACCTTCTGTCCCAAAGGCGAGAGTGCTGCAAGCTGAGCCAGACTGACAGCTTAAAGGCTGACTTGAGTAATAAAAAGCATTGTTATACTTCAGGTGAAATTCTTTTAATGTCTTAATCGCAATATGCATTCCTCTGTTTAAAATGGTTCCATGTTCTGCAGATACTAACATGTTTCTGTTTCTTTTAGTGGTGTCAGAGAATCCCACAAGTTTTACAATCACTGTTACATCTGATGCTGGCGAAAATGAGGAAAGTAAGTACTAACATTTGATAGAAGAAGCACATTATTTAGGATGGGCTTTCAGTTACTGGGCAGATTTTATGTGAATAACTTGATATCCCATCTTGCAGCTTCATTAAATGTGTAATATTTGACTTGCTGGAATGCTGCTACAAGAGTAGATGTATTAATAGGGAATTCCATGAGTCACAGCTATGAGTTTGTGAGATTTAAGAAATTCCATTGGCACAAGCTGGCAGAAATCACTGTGTTTTCAGACCACCTCGTCGCTTGGTGCTTTGATTCCAGAATTATTGCTGTTCTGAAAGATTGCCTGATATCAAGACCTGTTTGAGTTCTTAATATTTTCTCTAATTTAGTCTCGACCAAACTAAGGCTATCCTGCTCAGCTCCCAACAACAACAACAACAACAAATTACATTTGTGTAGCGCCTTTCACGTTAGGAGGACACCCCGACAGTACCTCGCTGGCTTAGCGCTGGTTGTTTGTTTGAATTCATGGAGTTACCATGGAACCCCAGCATTTTGTTGGATCCTCAACACTTCTTCAAACCTTTTATCCAGGCTCTTGACAGTCTACTTTCTTCTATCTCTGCAACATCAGCCACTTCCACCAGCACATCACTTCCAGCACAGCCAAAATACGTCCGTGCCTTTGTCACCTCCACACTCGACCAGTATCTTGTTTCCTAGCCTCCCCGCCTTTGCTCTCCACAGCCTCTACCATCCACATTGTTGAGATCTTTCAGAACTCTGCAGTTAGCAACCTTTCCCCGGCTCCCCAGCAGATTGACTTTAAAATTCTTGTCCTCACCTTCATAACCTTGTCCCTCTGTAGTTTGGAATCCTAGTTTGACACCCACACCCCCTTCACTCTGCCAACTTTTCATGTCCCCTAATCTGCTCCATTTCACTGCTGGCAAGCCTGTTAGCCACAGACTTGCTACTCCAGAACTCTTCCAGAATCTCTCTGCCTTGTCCCTCTCTCCGCTTTCAAAACCTGTCTAAAAATCTCTTTTGAACTTCTCTTTTGAACGCCTTTCCTCAGGTCCCTCACAATCAAGCTCCCACTTAGACTTTGTAAAGCACTTTTCATGTAGATACTCATCTACATGAAAAGTGCTGTATGAATGCAAATAGTTGTTTTTCTAGTGGTGCTGTCTGTCTCCATCTATGTTTTTTGTATGAGTTGCAAGCAATTGTCAGGTTTGCAAAGGGTGTCTGTTAGTGCAGAGTCAATTGGGGCATTTAATAAAGAAACAAAAACAGAAGTTGTTGGGAACGTGCAGGTCAGGTAGCATCTATGGAGAAAGGAGAGTGAGTCAATGTTTCGGGCCCATGACCCTTCGTCAGAACGCATGTCCACGACCCTTTGTCAGCGTTCTGACAAAAGGTTGTGGACCCGAAACGTTGACCCACTTTCCTTTCTCCATAGATGCTGCCTGACCTGCTGAGTGTTCCCAGCAAATGCGATAGCAATGTGCCCTGTGAAAGAGCTAACGTATCAGAATCCAGCTTGTGAAGAACTTTGTATTCATAATATGGTGTAGTTACAATGCTTATTTAAATAAGGATTTAAAAAGGATCTGGGTGCATGTTCAAGTACAGCGGTTGATTACCAGTAGTTAATGTGGCCTGATAACTGTTCTATAATTTTTTTTACAAGCTGTCGAGGCAACTCTCCAATTCACGTATGTAGACAAATATCCAGATGGCCCACCACTTTTTGAAATTATTGGGCAAGAAAACCTGCAGAGCTTGGATGTCATAGATGTGATGACACTATTACAACAGACGGTAAGGAGCATTGAGATTTGTTGTTCTTCATATAAGCTTTGTTCATCAGGTCGCAACAGAGCAAAGATTTGCAACACATCCATTGTAACTTTTTCATTATTTTACCTTCCCTATAGCTCAGTGGGTTGTGTGGTACTGGTTATGTTTAATAAATAGCTATTTGGGATGTAGAGATATAAAGGGGTTTAATGAAAAGGTGGGAGATTGGGATTAAAAGATTTGCCAAGATCTAATAAACTGGTGGAACAGGCCCGTGGGGCTGAATGGCCTCCTGTTCCTGTTTTGCTTTTGTTCCAATTAGCTTGTGTGTCGCATGCCAGTCTGGCTCAGTGGTAGCACTCACCTCTGAGTCAGAAGACTGTGGGTTCAAATCCCACATTAGAACTTGAATTCACGTAGTTTACAATGACACTTCAATACAGTGCTGGTGGTATGTTGCATTGTTGGAGATGCCATCCTTCGGATGAGACTTAAACCAAAGTTCATCTGTCTGTTCAGGTGGACATTAAAGATCCCATGGCACAATTCAAAAAGAGAAGGGAGTTTTTCCTGGTGTCCTGGCCAACAAACCCCCAAATAAAATTGTTCACTTACTCGACTGCTGTTTTGGGACATTGCTATGCACAATTGTGCTGCCAAGTTTGGCTACAAATACACAGTCACTCCATTTCACAGTAAATCCTGTGAAGTGCTTTCAGATGTCTTTCTGATGTGATAAGGCGCTATACCAAATCCAAGGATTATAATTTTGTATTATTATTAGGTTATACAATAATAATATCAAACATAGGTTATACCAAACAACAACAACAACAAGATTACATTTGTATAGCACCTTTCTCGTCGGGAGGACGTTGCAAGGCGCTGGACAGAGTACAGCATTTCAGACCCGGGGTGGGGGAAGGGAGGGGAAGGGGGGTGGCCAATTGCATGGTCGAAGAGGAGGGTCTTGAGACAGGACTTGAAGGAGGCTAATGAGGGGGCGAGGCGGAGTGATTGGGGGATGGAATTCCAGAGGTTGGGGGCAGAGTGACTGAAGGCTCTCCCACCAGTGGTGGGGCGGATGGGTCGGGGGATGTGTAGGAGGCCGGAGCCGGCTGAGCGGAGGGGACGGGCGGGTTGGTAGGGGGTTAGGAGGTCGCAGAGGTAGGGTGGGGCGAGACCATGGAGGGCTATGTAGGTGAGAACCAGAAACTTGAACTGGATCCTCTGAAGGATAGGGAGTCAATGGAGTTGGGCGAGAGTGGGGGAGATGGGGTCACGGAGTTTGGTGCGGGAGAGGACACGGGCTGCAGAGTTCTGGATTATTTGCAGCCTGTGGAGGGAGGAGTTAGGAAGGCCGACAAGCAGAGCGTTTGCTTAGTGAGCCTGGAGTGGAGACGTTGAGAGAGATAGGAATCGAACCAGGCAAGGGCAGATCCGTGAAGATTGAGTAAAGAGGAAAGGCTGTGTATGAGGATGGAGTGGTCGACAGTGTCGAAGGCAGCAGAGAAGTCGAGGAGGACAAGGAGGCAGAGGGAGCCCTGATCACATGTTCAGAATGTCATTAGTGACTTTGACCAGGGCTGTTTCCGTGCTGTGGGCAGCTCGGAAGCCGGATTGGAGGGATTCAAAGAGGGAATGGCGAGAGAGAAAGGAGCGGAGCTGGGACGCGACAACTCATTCCAGGACCTTGGAGAGGAATGGGAGGTTAGAGATGGGGCGGTAGCTGGAGAGGAGGGATGGATCCAGGGAAGGTTTTTTCAAGATGGGGGTGATGACGGCTGTTTTTAGGGGGGTGGGAACTGAACCGGTGGACAGGGAGAGATTGATGACATCGGGCAGGAGAGGGGCCAAAAGGTGGTGTTGGGAAATGAGCAGGTGGTGGGTTTGAGTTTGCGGACAGTCGTGGTGAGGGAGGAGGGAGAGATAGGGTCGAAGGACTATATAGGGAAGGATGGGTGGGGGATCATGAGGGAGAGGTGATGTGGGGGTGGCTGTGGACGGGGCAGAGGTGGCTGAACGTATCCCCTCGATTTTAGATTCAAGGAAGTCTAACATCTCCTCACAGTTGGAGTTTGAGGAGAGGATGGGCAAGGCATGGGAAGGTGGACGGAGGAGACGGTTAGTGGTGGAAAAGAGAAGCCTGGGGTTGTCCTTTGCCTCCAAGATAACCTTGGAGTAGACGGAGGATTTGGCAGAGACAAGAGCGCAGCAGTAGTTCTTGGTGTGGACCATTAGTTTGGATTTGGTCCAGGCGCGTTCAGCAGCTCGCACTTGTACCTTGAGGGAATGGAGATGGCTGGTGTACCAGGGGGATTTACGTGAGTATGAGGCAGTTCGGGAGGTGAGGTGGGCAAGGGAGTCCAGAATGGAGGAGACGGAGTTGTGGAGAAAGGGGAGTGAGGAGGGGAGATCAGTCAGGGAGGGCCAGAGGTGTAGGAGTTCAGATGACTCCAGGGCAGTGGAGAGGGAGAGGGAGGAAATTATTTTCCAAGGACGGTATGTAAATGTGAAGGGAGAAGCAGAGGGAGGCCGTGGGGGAGTCGAGGAGGGATAGGAGTCAGGGCAGGCGGAGGGAGAGGAGGGTTGAGCGGGAGTAGCGGAGGGAAGGAAATGGGGTCGGGGACATCTTGGGGAAACAGCTCAGGTCAAACAATAATAATTTAGCCACTCAATCCATAGCTGTTTGTGGGACACTGCTGTGCGCGATTGGCTGCCGCTCTTCTCCCACAAATATAGTGAATTCACTTCACAGTATATTCTGTGATACTCTTTGAGACGTCTAGAAGGATTATTATTATTATAGCCTGAAATCCCACTGGATCCACTCAGGCTTGAACCATTTTAAGTGAATAAAGTGCCTGAAAAAAGTCCCTTTTATGAAGTGGGCTCTGTGAAGAGGAGGCTGGCTCTGAGGAGACAGAGTTATCCAAGACAGTTATTAATTGTTGACTTGTCTTTGGGGCTCATCATGAGCCTTGGGAGTGAAGATATGTTAGGTAATCCTACCAGGAGGACAAGTTGAGTGCTGGACATTGTCATTTAATTATTTTAACCATAATAATAATAATAATAATAATGATAATGATAATAATAATCCTTGCATTTGAGACAATGCCTTATCACGTCTTTGAGACATCTCAGTGTGAAACGCGGCACCCAATCGCGCACAGCAGTGTCCCACAAACAGCTGTGGATTGAGTGATCACGTTACTATTATTATTTTTTTGGAGGGATTATTACCCGTGGTAAGCGATCCTTCAATCGACTAACATATTGGGGTAACAGCAGTTAGTAACAGGATTTGTTAATATCAACTGCAGGTTTCAAATGTTCAAATAGAGACTCTTGATGGAATCATGGGGACCCACAGGAACTCTGCTCTGAAATGACCAGAGGTAGATTGCAGAGTTTCTGAAAGATTGAACATGATGGACACACTTTCAGTTACTACCAGGGTTCCTCAGATGTGATTTGAAGTTGATATTAACAGCTCCTGTTGTGAATTGATGCAAAATAGACTCCATTGTTTCCTTTGCTGTGTTTTGTGGTTTAACTAGTATTGTTATTGTATTGCTTCATTTTTCCTACTGTGTTTTATAAGATTGTAATCATATTTAACCATGAATGCCAAACTAATTGGAGTAAGACCTGTCTTTGAGGAGCCCACACTAAAAGCCGTGTAAATCACTTCATTCAGCTCATCTTTTAATTCAATAAAACTCCATAAAAATTCACACAGGCTCTCAGTTTTAATGATATATCATTCTCGTAAAGTTAAAGGGATAGGGAATAGTAAAAACTAACCCTTCTATGGATTGCAAGTTGCAAGATTGACATCCTGTAAGAAGTGTTAGAACAGCAATACGGAACTATCTGAAATGGACTTTATTTAAAAAATATTTTTCATCTTCCAAATACATTACAAAAATATTGAAACTGAAAGTAAGCAGCGAGACTCCGTTTTGAGACTAGAATTTTATAAAGTTAACAACCAGTGTTTTTATTTATTGATTCCATTTGGTACAGTGATTCATTGATTTACTGGCAGAGAAAGTTCCACAGATCAGAGATAAACAGATACCTTTTTCAGTTAAAGGGAAAATATGCTCCAGCAATATGCTGCTCCATTGCTATATGAACTGCAGACTGATAATCTACTCAATAAATTGCCCAACCAGCACTGAATTTTGGCTCTTGTTTCAGTTATTTGCTGATTCAGTTTCCCCCAAACGGTTTGGCAGCGATGTCACTCACATCTGTTCAAAGCTGGTGGAAGTTTGTAGCACACTTCTGAATAAAAGCCAACCTTGGTCAGGGTCATTGCTAAACTTTATGTATCTTATCCTCTTAAAAAAAAAAGTGCCTTATCAAGTCTTCGAGATATCTGAAAGCGCTTCACAGAATATACTGTAAAGTGAATTGACCGTAAATTTTGTGAGCGAAACACCCTATGTCGGGACTTTGAACTCACAGTCTAGGCTGACACTCCATTGGAGATACTACACTGAGATCTTGTCTGCCTATTTTATGCACAAATTAAAGATCCTGTGGCACAGTTTGAAAAGAGATGTGAGTTTCTCCTGTCCAATAATCCCCCAAAAATGTGCACAAATTAGCTACTGCATTCACCTACAAAAAATCCACACTTCAAATTAAATCACATGAATTCATTGAGATGTCCTCCCGAGGTGAAAGATGCTGTGACCGAATAATTGGTAAGAAACATGTGGGTGATCCTTTAATCTGTGATTCGGTTAGTGATTCTTGTACACTATATCTTCCTTAACAGGCAGAAGAAAACATTGGAATGGTGATGATATTTACCTTAGTGACTGCTGTACAAGAAAAACTAAATGAAATTGTAGATCAAATAAAGTCTTGCAAAGAGGAGGAAAAAATACTAAAAGAAAAAGAAGCTGAAGAAGTGGAAAAGGTTTGTAGATAATTATTTTGGTGTCATATTTTATCCTAATAAAGATTTGTACATAGTTTCAAAGGGATACTGTTTTCATTCTGTGCTATTAAGGGAGAATGTCTATGGTGCATTGTATGAGGCTGAGATTGCTAAACTGAATTCAGAAGCCACAGAGCAGTAGTATTAAAATCTATAATCCATTAAATATGTATATTATCCCATTCTAGTAATAATTTTTAAAAAAATAAACATGGTTGTGGACCAAACTGGCAAAGGTTATTATGCCTAAACTATCTTTGTTTAAACAAGTGAAGTAAATTTAAAATTCAATATAGTCTAAGTGAATCAAAATATTTGGGGGTGGTGTTGCAAAGGTTTTTCTTCTACATCCAGGGCAATCCCAATATCGTACCATTGCATAATGTTGAATTTTCATACAGTGTATCTCTGTCGTAATGTGGTAGGTGGTTGACTGTAAAATCCTACCAATGTCATAAATGGAGTGAAATCACCTGTTAGTGCTTCCACAGTCATTGTGCATCAGTATAGGTGGCAGGCAGCCTGCTCCAAAGGCACTTCAAAAAGCCATGGCTGATCTCCCAGTTATCAGCTTGTTGTCACTTGCACAGTGTGAAGGAAGTCACATCGGCAGTAACCTTGTGATTGAGAAGTTGACCCAATTTTTTTTGGGTGTACCAGTTGGCTTATTGAGTGCCAATGGAGCTGTCAACATGCATTTTGGATTCTATGGGGTATGTAAATTTTGGAGTTTACACCATCTTACAATGTTTTTTAAGTGGATATAGTAGCAGCTGTTTATGTACGCATTTTAACTGTAATAGGATTGCAAGCTAATTTCAAAACAGAACACAAGTTAATCTGTATAATGCTGGTTATCAAATGGATATAAATGTAGTTGTCCTTTTGCTTTGATATATTATGTTTTTATTTCAGTAAGTTTTTATAAATGTTAGATTTAAAGTTAAATGTAATTTTCCAAATGTAAGTTTTTATTTGATGAATGGGGTTCAGATGATTCTGATAATCTTTGCTTTGTGTTGCTGTTACCACTGTTTTAGACAACTGAAATTCCTTCAGGGCTCCACTTTTATATTCAGTGATTTGTATTTTATTTTTGCACTGTTATAGGCTCGCTTTCATGGCACTATAGTTACAATCGAAAACTTCCTATCTTGGAAAGCAAAATTTGATGCAGAGATAGCAGAATTCCAAAGAAAACGACAAAAGGAAGAGGAGCAGGCAGGAAAAGTTAAACTGACTGGTAAATTGTGTGTGTTTTGAGGTATATGTGAATACCAGCTATGCAGATGGCACATCGTACATTGTCGCTGAACATAATTACATGGACAATATATGGTAACATATAAGATCCAGTTTCTCCAAGGTTTTAACATACTATGCCAAATGTAAGGATTTTTATTTAACTTAATTTGCTTATCACTGATAATTAATATATTAAACTTTCACCTGGGCTCTGACCCACATACCTTTCGTCCACAACATCATCTGTCTCCATCACTATTTCACCACGAATGCTGCCAACAACTACTTGGACTACTTGCGGTAGTAACAACTACTTGTACATTTTAGCGCCCTTCGCGCAGGATAGGGATCAGAGAGCCTCAGAATGATCGGATTTTTTGACCAAGTCTTAAGAAGAGAATGAAAAATAGATAATGGAGGGGGATTTATGCAGGAAGTTTGAGTGATCAGCGGTGTACTGAGTGAAGGCCATCGGTAGAGCGCAGAGATCTGTGAACCTCAGCAGGTCTGAGCCTGCTGAGTGAAGGGGGAGGCAGTGGAGTGCGGTACGAGCAGGTCAGAAAGCTAGGCCATGGAGGGAATTGTAGCTGAAGGTGAGAATCTTGGAAGTCAATCCATTTGGAGGTGGGGAGCTAGAGGAGCTTGGGGTGAGAGGTATGTAGAGCTTGGCACGGTGAAGATGTGGCAGTGGAGTTTTGGATGAGCTGGACCTCGGGGTGGTGGAATTGGGAGACACTATTGAGGCGGGAGGTGATGAAGGCGTGCATGAGGGTTTCAGCGGCTACCTTTGTCAGCTTAGACTCAACTTTCCCAATGCCCTACTCACCAGCCTTCCCAGCTCCATCCTCCACAAGCTTCAAACCATTCTGAACTCTACAGCTCTATCCCTTTTCACAGGCTCGATGACCTTACTTCATCCTATCTCTAAAATCTCCTGTGACCGTTCTCCCCCATCTACTGCCTCTGCTCTACCAACTCCAGCTTGCTTCATGCCCCTACTTCCCACCACCGGCAGGCAAGCTTCAGCCACTTTGGCCTTCTCTCTGGAACTCTCTTCTGACATCTCTGCCTCATCACCTTTCTCTCTGCTTTCAAAACCCAATGTAAAGATGGATTTCCTTGACTTTGGTTTTGTTACCTTTCCTTACAACTACATTCCTCCCAGCCCAGACTCCCACTCTTGTCTTTGTAGAGAGCTTTGAGACGTTCTCCCTACGTGCCCCAACCCCCTTTTTCAGATCACGCCTGAAGACCTTCCTCTTCGACCGTGATTACGGTCATCGCCTCTCAGCTCGGCATCAAGCTCCACTTCTGTTAAGCGCTCCGAGATGCTGCCGTGCATGAAGGGCGCTATATAAATGTTATTATTGTAAAGAGGGAGGGGGTGGTTTTGAGGTTAAAGAAAAACGCATTATGGTTTTAGAGAGGGTCTTTTAAAATGAAATGCTGTATTAAATGAGTGTCATATATTTTGCAGGAAAGCAATTGTTTGAAACTGATCATAATCTGGATACATCCGACATCCAATTCTTAGAAGAAGGTATAGTACATCACTTGTCTGTTTACAATAAAACTGCCTATTCTCTACTGATGATACCAGTTTAAATATTAATAAGCATGTAAGAATTGATACCTGGGCTGTTAATGTAAGGTTTATAAAGCTGACATTTCAAAATCCCTTTCAATTAAATTGCTGCTCTGTTGTTTGCATTGTTACAATTTTTTAAATGTAATTAAATGGAGCGAAGGGTGATCAATTTAGATCTTTGTCTTTTCTAACTACATTTTGAATTGACTGCAGTTTTTAATAAAAATATACGTTTTGAGCATTGTATGGATCTACTTAGGAAGTAGAAATACTCAGGGATTTTGGCAAATGGAAGTAGGATTTAGGGGAGGTGGTAATGATCTGTGGCAGAGCCCATCTCCTATTCTTAAATTATTTTAGTGTCCTTTGATCTTTTAGGTATAGTAGTGTTTGAGGAAACCTAGTTAACTGGAAAACATATTAGTGTTGTAAATGAAGATTGTGTGATTTGATCAAAAAGTTAGTATTTTTACTTGGCTGCAGCATTGTACTAATAGTGCTGTTTATCTACCCGCAATAGGTAACAACGTAGAGGTCGATGAATCTCTGTTCCAAGATATGGATGATTTAGAATTAGACGATGAAGATGACCCAGATTATAATCCTGTGCATATTGGGAGTGATGAAGATTAAGTATTTTGAACTGAGTTTGTGAAACGTACCATTCACTGTGGCCCAATTATATAAGTGACTGAGGATGAGTTGCAGCATCTGTGACTTGTTTACATTGCAACTGGCATGACATTGCAACTTGACAAAATACCAACAGAATTATTTTAGCCTGTTATGTGCACTTCTGTATGATTCCATCACCACCTTTAATAAATTTTCTCAAATTGACACGGCTATATTTTGAACTTAATTAAAAAGTGTTTCTCTCTTTCTTTGTGCTATGGCAACTCTGCATGTGTGTGTGCGTGTCACTATTCCAATGCCCTCCTCGCTGCTCTCCCCAGCTCCACCATACACAAAATTAAATTAATTCAAAACTCTGCCGCTCGGATAATAATAATAATAACACTCACTTGCACAAAACTCTGTATCCCCATCACACCAGTCCTTGCCAGGCTCCCTTGCTCCCAATTACTGAACAGAGTGAATTCAAGATTCTCTCATTCGTTTTCAAATTGCGTCATGCCCTCGCACCTCCTTATCTATCCAATCTGCTTGTCCACCACCCCTACCTCTGCTTGGCTGGCTTCGGCTTCCTGTTTGTCCCTCGTCCCCTCCGCTCCACCATCAGTGTCCATGCCTTTAGCCGCTATGCCCCGAATCTCTGGAACTCTCCCTCAATCCCTCCACCTTGCCCCCTCCCTCCCTACCCGCTTTCAAATTCCACGTAAAGTCCTTTTTGATTGTGCTTACGGTTACCTCCCTCTCCCCCTGGCTTGGTGTCAGACTCGGCCACAGTCAAGCACTCCGGGACCCTACCCTGGGTGAAGGGCGCTATATAAATGCAAGTTGTTGTTTGTGTATCTGTGGGGGAGAGAGGAAGGGAGAACCACTCTCCCCAAATACAAGGCCAACTTTGATATGAGAATAGGCATTGAACAGATATGCATTGTGCTGTATATAACCATCGATGGCTTTCTAGCTACCACAAGAAAAGCCTTGCTATGCTTTCCATTTTAGGCCTTTTCTCTATTTTAGCATTGCATCTCCAGATGTTCCTCTGACTATTCTGGATGCCACTGATGGACACCAAGCCACTTCAAGGAATACTGGTTTAACTTTGATTTAAGATAGTATTCTGCAAGTAGTACTTATATATTGGCAACTCAATGGCAGTTGCCAGCATTTTTGGGATGGTATCAGAGAGTTTTGGTTATCAACTGGCTCAGCTTTCAATTTTTGAAGATATGTAAACTTTCATATTGCCTGTCACAATTTCCCCCTCACAGTAGGACAACAAAACGATGCAGCGCTGGTATGCTTGGAAGCCATAGTCAGTGGTAATCATTTTTTTCCAATGATATTAACAGGAATATAATACTTGGTGCTGAAATTAAACACAGCTGAAAAGGTGATCAAGCAATAGATGAATTTAATGAAAAGTTTTACAAGTGAATATTTTCGTGACCATAGCTTGAAGGAATACTTCCGATATATAATCTGATAATAATGTCTCAAGAAAAAAANCAATAATAATTTAGTCACTCAATCCATGACTGTTTGTGGGACACTGCTGTGAGCAGTTGGCTGCCGGGTTTCGACCACAAATACACCGTCAATTCACTTTACAGTATATTCTGTGAAGCTTTGAGACGTCTCAAAGACATGAAAAGCGCTATATCAAATGCAAGGATTATTATTATTATAAACTATGCATTTAGCCACCATCTAAAGGGAGCAGGGAAGTGATTTTTATCAAGATAGAACTGAGGACACTGCAGAGATTAAGCAACTTCACTGCAGGAACTGTGATGCTGGTAATTGAACAAGTCTATCAAATGCAGTTTGGAAAGACCTGTTAAATTGGCTAACATTATAATTGGCTAAGTGCTGTATCAAATGCAAGGATTATTATTACATTATAATTCAATTTAACGTTTGCTCAATTTCCAACATTTTCTAATTTTTTATTCAAATTTCAAATATCTGATTATTCTTCCTTCAGTATTTCTACAAAAGTTTTATAATTATTTCAGTATTATATGTAACTGATAGCCGATGATCAATGCTCACTGTTCCTGAAGAAAACATTATCACTGTTCCCAAATAATCTTTAGTGGGAAGCCTTTCATTTTCTCCTGGAAAATCTTGTCAACGAGTTCACTTTGTGCCACGGTGAAGTAGTTTTTCCAGTCTCCTATTATCCCTAAACAAGGAATCAAAAGCAAGTTACAAACAATTAGAATGGATATTTCTTCTTAAATGATACCCCCTTCCACATTCACGTCACCTTCAGCCAACTGGTGTGAGTATCTTCAAATACTTGTCTACTATTTTGAAAGTAGGGGACAGATGCTAGCGCAACATAATTTAAAAGAAATTATCAAGCGTGCTCAGAGTAGTAATGTACACATACAGTGTTTGGATATGAAGAGAGAAAAAAAACATCTGCCCTGTGGGTCTACCTAGTTGCCATCAGTGTTGTTCCAGCAATTGGTCAGTGGGAAGCATTTTATGAGAGAAGGGATCCAAATTCAGAGGAAGATTTAATTTGTGTCACTGGGTATTATCTAGGTTTCTCCTCACAGTATTTCCATCTGAGGAAGCAGACAAATTCTGTCTCCTCAAATACTTACTAACAAAGTGTACACCACCGACATAGTGTAACTACCTCTCTTTTCCTTCTCTATGGGCAGTGTCTTCACACTGTTTGGCACAATTGCAAATGCATGAAGACACTTAGTGACCCAAGAAAATTATCTTATTTAACATTGCATTTGTAAGGTATAATAGCTAAAAAATAATAATATTTGTACTTATATTTAACTCATAGTGAGAGCCAGTAACTGGACATGTGTCAGTGACCAATGGAAACTGTGCATCTGATTATCAGAGTGGAGCTTTGGCGGATTGACTGGATGCACTTCTACTTATCTATAGCCACTGATATTTAGGGCTTGAAGTCATTAGAGAATTAACTTTCGAACCCACCATTACTTTAGGAACGTACCTTTTCTCATAAATCCTGGTACGGTCTTATCAAATGATTCAGAAGTGATATCTTCGTAGTTTGATTTGGGGTTTGCCTTCATGTTCTTGAAGGTAGAGGATTTCACAATTTGGTCAATTCTGTTATCATCCAAAGATTTTCCGAGAAACTTGCTCATATTTTGCACTGCAGTTCTCAGGTCCTAGAATATCCAAACATTTTATAGTTCAGTTTTGCAAGCTCTTCCCGAGGTAACAATTCTACTAATCCTTTTTAAGGGTAAAGAGTGCAATTTCAGATGCACAATAAAAACAGCAGGTGTAAATATACATGCCAAATTCTGGGAAAACATAAAAAGGATAAAACGAGAGCAAAGGGATCAGTTATTGTGGAGGATAAGAAAGAATACTCTGAAAACAGTGTTCTCAAAAGCCTGTTTGTGTGGTGTAGAATTAAAGCATGCTACTTGAGCTTATAAGTACAGCATCAGGCTTGTAAGTTGCAGATCAAACAGACCTCTTGGATATCCAGCTTTGCTTAGGCTAAATGTGTAAAAAATTACACTAGATTTATACTATACAAAAACAAAACTATATTTGCGAAGAGCATTTCATGTCAGGAGGACATCCCAAGGCGCTGAACAGTTGGGGATCAGGATCCGAGTGTGGGGGGACAGAGTTGGAGTGAGGGAGAGCAGAGGGGGTAGGAGGGTGGCTGAAGGCACAGTCGAAAAGAAGGGTCTTGAGTCATTCCTTTAAGGAGGCAAGGGAGGGAGCAAGGCAAAGGGATTGTGGGATGGAGTTCCAAAGGATGGGGACAGAGGCTGAAAGCCCAGCCGCCGATGGTAGGGTTTTCATAGAGAAGGCCAAAGCCTGCTGAGAGGAGGGAGGTTGATAGGGGTTCAGCAAATCAGAGATGTGGGGGGGCTGGGAGGTGGGGGGGTGCAAGGCCGTGGAGAGCTTTGAAGGTGAGGATGAGAATTTTGAATTTTATCCTCTGAGGGATGGGAAGCCAGTGGAGCCGGGTGAGGATGGGGGTGATGTGGTCACAGAGCCTGGTGCAAAAGAGGACATGAGTTGCAGAGTTCTGGATGATCTGCAGCTTGTGGAGGGAAGAGTTGGGGAGGCCGACGAGGGAGTTTCCGTAGTTGAGCCTTGAGGTGATGATGCATGTATGAGGGTTTCGGCGGCCTGAGGGCTGAGGCAGTGAAGGAGTCTGGCAATGTTGCAGAGATGGGGGAAGGCAAAACGGATCATGGCACAGATATGGGGGAGAAAGGACATTTGAGGGTTGAACAAGATGCCAAGGTTCCTGACTGGCTTGGTGAGATGGAGTGTGCAACCATGGATGCTGATGCTGCCAGTGCCTGAGGTCCAGAGGTGCTGGCGTGAGCCAATCAGGAGGGCCTCAGTCTTGCTGACATTCAGCTATAGAAAGTTGGCTCTTATCCACGACTGAATGTCTGACAAACAGTCTGTCAGGACATCAGTTGTCCTGGAATCGAGAGTGGAGGCAGAGAGATAGAGTTGGATGTCTTCTGCATACATGTGGAAGTTGACCCCATGTCTGTGGATGATGTCACCAAGTGGGACCATGTAGAGGTTGAAGAGGAGGGGACCATGGAGCCCTGAGGAACAACACCTGAGACTGTGCGGGAAGAGAATCCGATGGTGGAGACAATTTGAAGATGGTGTGAGAAGGACAGAACCTTGAAGGTTAAGGTGAGAGGAGAGGTGGTGGAGGAGGATGGAGTGGTTCACGGTATCAAAGGGAGCAGAGAGGTCGAGGAGGATGCGATGCCACAGGGAGGCCTGGTCACAGATGGACAGGATGTTATTTATCACCTTGACCAGAGCAGTTTCTGTGCTATGAACAGCACCGAAACCCGATTGGAGGGGCTCAAAAACGGAATGGTAGGAGAAGAATGAATGAAGCTGGGAAGCAACGACTCTTTTAAAGATTTTGGAAAAATAAGGGAGGTTTGAGGTGGGCTGGTAGTTAGAAAGCAGGGATGGGTCCAGGGTTTTTTCAGGATGGGGGTGATTATAGCTGTTCTTAGGGGATGGGAACGTGCCAGATGATAAGGAAAGATTGATGGTGTTGGAGAGTAGAGGGGCGAGGAGGTGGAGCTGGGATGTAAGGAGAGGGGTGGTGATCGGGTCAAAGGAGCAAGTGGTGTTTTCATGCTGATATAGTGGTGATGAGAGGAGAGGGAGACAGGTTTGAAGATGTGGGGGAAGGGATGGGTAAGGGTCAGAGTGCGGTGGGGAGAAGACAAGGGTATTGTGATTGGGAAGGTGGAGGCAGCTGAACAGATCCCCTCGATTTTGGACTCGAGAAAATCCAGCATCTCCTCACAGTCAGAGTTTGAGGAGAGAATGGGCGAGGGGTGGGAGGGTGGAAGGAGGAGCCGGTTGGTGGTGGAGGATAGGAGCCTGGGGTTGCCCTTCGCCTCCAAGATAATCCTGGAGTAGAAGGATGATTTGGCGGAGGTGAGAGCAGAGTGATATGTTTTGATGTGATCCAACCAGATCTGCCAGTGGACTGTTAGGTCAGACTTGAGCCAGGTACGTTCAGCAGCCTGCACCTGACCCCTGAAGAAGCGGAGGAATTCCGATGATTCCAGGACAGAGGGATTGCAGGGAGATTTTTTTCCAGGAGTGGTAGGAGATGGAGGTGGGTTTGGTGGTGGTGGGGAGAGGGATTGTAGAGTTAAAGGAGATGAAACGGTGATCGGAGATGGCTTTGTCTGTGATTCTGATATTCGAGACACTGAGGCCCCGGGTAATCACGATATACTCATAGTCTATGCTGTTCCTGCATTGCATTGTTGGAGGTGTTAAACCGACCCTCCATCTGCCTATTCAGGTAGACTTTAAAGATCCATAGCACTATTTGAAAAGAGAAGGGGGTTTCTCCCGATATCCTGTTCAACCATCCTCCAAATAAATTTGGTCATTAACTTCATGATTATTTATGCGATGTTGCTGTGCGCAAATTGGCAGCCGCATCCACCACAAAACATACAGTCAATGCACTTTACAGTGCAATCCTGTGAAGCGATTGGGTCATCCTTCTGCCCTAAAAGCTGCTATACCAAATATAAAGATGATAATATTTATTATTTTACATACATTGCTCATCATTATTTCTCAATCCTCCAGTTAGTAGACCCTCTCGCATAGGAAGGCTTTGCAAACCAGAAAAGAAATGTTGTTGCCTATCAATTGAAAAGTGTGCAAATCTCAGATAGACATAGAGGAGACAACCAAACCCCCTTAAGATAAAGAACTAAGAAAAATTGGGGAGCTTTGAATGTGTGAGAACAACGTTAAGCGTTAAAATAGTGTCCCACAGACATTTTCTTTTCACTCTATAACTTTTACTTACATGTCAATGTCTTCAAGTCCACTTTATTTACTCTCAATCGATTGATAATAATCCTCGCATTTGATTGATGTGCAGCAAGTGTGGACATACAACTTAAATGTTCCAAGGTGGTGTGTTGAAAGTTAGTCAAACTTCCAACTGTTTTGAACCTTTATATTGTACTTCTCTTCTAATCATTTTGGATTGTTCAATTTCTAAGATATGGCCTACATTTTTCCATATAAGATATAGAGTCAATTCACTTTACAGTCTATTTTGTGAAGTGCTTTGAGACGTCTCGAAGATGTGAAAAGCGCTATATCAAATGCAAGGGTTATTATTCTATAATGGAAAAAGTTTAGTGTTTGGAAGGAGTCTGTTGTATGTAAAAACATAGGTTGCACAAATGACATTCTGCTAAGTTTTTACATTGAGAAGTGGTTGTGCAATTTATTCTTAGAATTCAGGATATATTCTCTTTTTGCTCAATATATTAATGTTATGGCATTGAGCACCAAGGATGGAAAAGGCCAACACCTTGATTCATTCCCTAAACAGAGAATCCCCCAACCCTGTCATCATAGAGAGCTGTGATAAGAACTGATCGATGTTCCAGTGAGCAAGGCTGCACAAGCCATTTCATCTCTTCCAATTGCCAGGGCTCGATAGGCTGTTTAGGCGCCTTGAAAAACTCAAGCTCTCGATGGCTCACCAGCCTATTATTTTCTTCACATTCCTTATGTAAAATTACACACTATTTGAATTTTCTACCGCTTAACATTCTGCATTATTATTTACCAACTCTATATTTCCCCACTTCTAGCCCCATGTTTAGACTTAAAATTATGTAAAATTGTCATAATTTTACCTAAGGAATGTGAAGAAAATTGCAGACTGGGAGTTTTCAAGCTACCTCAATAGCCTGGAAGAGGCAAAATGGCTCATGCAGCCTTGCTCACTGAAACAATGCCATTAAAATGATAAGTTAATCACTACAGAATACTATGTTGTTTACTCAGTTACAAATTGATTGATGTTTCATTGAATTTTAATCCTCTGTACTTTGATGAGACGGTTATTGAAATACCAATTTGCCAAAAATAAGTGCAGGGTGAAGTATTCCCTCTTGTCTCAAATCACTAAAAACTAGTTCCCAGGTGCAAAAAGTAATGAAAAAGGGGAATGGAATGTTGGTCTTTATCTCAAAGGGCCTGGAATACAAAGGAGAAGAAATGATGCTTCAGCTGTATAGAGCGTTAGTCAGACCCCATTTGGAGACTGCGTTCAGTTTTGGGCACCACACCTCAGGAAAGATATATTGGACCTGGAGAGGGTGCAGCGCAGGTTCACCAGAATGTTACCAGGCCTAAAAGGGTTAAGTTACGAGGAAAGGCTTTCACATGGTGAGAATGTCCAAAACTGTCAATAAACCAAATGGAATCCCAGTTTTATAGCTAGTGGTATAACCACAGAGGTAAAGCACACAACCTTAAACTTAACTGAAAACTGTTATTAGTTGGGTTGAATATTTAAGACGGGGCAGACTCAAAGTGGGGCTTTCATAAGTACTGTAAACTGAACAGTTGGAAATGCATTGGCTCAAGCACAACACAGGTTCTGTCAATTTATATCCTTTTTGTTGCCTTTGAAACTAATACCCATATGGAATTTTAGGAGAACTTACCTTACTCATCTCTTCATATGACTGGAACACAATATTGAACTCGTCTCTGTGATCGTACCAATTCTTAACGTGATCAAACCAGCCGTTATAATCCACTATATTAAAGATAAAACATGTTTTTGCAATGATTTTTAAGGTTAAAAATGGAATCAGGTAATGATCAACATCATACTAATGCTTGCATTTGATATAGTGCCTTTTCATATCAAATTACTTCTAAAGCACATTGTGCTACTTTGAATTCCAAGGTGCTGTCTGCCTTTTCAGGTGGATGTTAAAGATCCCATAGCACTAGTCAACAACAATAATAACAACTTGCATTGATACAGCGCCCCTCACCCAAGGCGGAGTCCCAGAGCGCCTGACAGTGGAGGAGCATGACATTGAGCCGGGGGGAGGGGAGGTTACCATAGGCACAGTCAGAGAGGAAGGTCTTCAAGTGCGACCTGAAGATGGGGAAAGAAGAGGTAATGTGGATGGATAGAGGAAGAGTGTTCCAGAGTTTCGGTATTGAATGCGTGGCCACCAATGGTGGAACGGAGGGTACAAGGGACATGCAGAAGGCCAGAGCCAGTCGAGTGGAGGCAGCGGGTTGTGGTTTGAGAGGTAAACGGATTGGAGAGGTAGGGAGGTGCCAGGACACGAAGGGATTTGAAAACGAGTGTGAAGATCTGGAAATCTACCTGTTTGGTGATAGGGAGCCAATGGAGCTTGGCTAGAACTGGTGTGATGGGGATACACAGTTTAGTATAGGCGAGAATTCAGGCAGCATCAGTTGGATTCTGTGCATGGTAGAGTTGGGGAGACCAGCAAAGAGGGCATTTGAGAAGTCCATTCGGGAGGTGACGAACGCATAGACGAGTATTTCAGTTGTGTCCAGGGTAAGGTATGGTCGGAGGAGGGCAATGTGGCGGAGGTGGAGAAAGACAGTCCTGGTCAGGAACCGGATGTGGGAAAGAAAGGACAGTTGTGGGTTAAACCTATCGCCTTGGTTGCGCACTGATTCGGTAAGTCTGAGGGATAGGCTGGAATGGTTGAGAGGAGCCAAAGCAAATGGCTTCTGTCTTGTCAACATTGAGTTGCAGGAAGTTTTTGTTCATCCAGGCCCTGAAGTCCGCCAGACAAGCTGAGAGAAATTCAGTGGAGCTGGAGTCGCAGCTGGAGGAGGAGAAGTAGATTTGTGTGTCATCTGCATACATGTAGACATTTTCCCTATGTCTGCGGATGACATTGCCAAGAGGGAGCATATAGATAAGGATGAGGAGGAGGTCAAGAATGGAGCTCTGGGGTACACCACAGGTGACCGGGCGGGTGGGAGGGGCTGTGTCTTACTCAAAAGAGGACGGAATTTCTGTAGGTCTCGTGGCCAACAACAAAATTGGTGATTCACTTCACGGACGTCTGTCGGCATTACTGTAAGCAAATTTCTGCCTCATTCATAGAATCATGGAAATTTACAGCGCAGAAGGAGGTCATTCAGCCTTTCATGTCTCTTATATACCCATCTACCTCCGTCTTGAAACCCACAATGGACTCTGCCTCTCACTTTCCTTGACAGAAAATTCCCTATTCCTCTGGCTGTTTCTCCTCCTTTGAGCACCTCACCCTCTATCATCCCTCTACCGTGGGTGATTTCAAACTCCACTAAATTCCTCTTGCTTCACCTCCTCGGATTTCACTGCCCTCCTCTTCTCCCTAAACCTCACCCTCCACATCAACTCGCAGACCCACAACCGTGGCCACCCCCTCAACCTCGTCATCACACATGGCCTTGACATTTCAGACCTGTCTATCATGGACAAGCTATCTCGGACCACTTCCTCTTCTCCCTCTCCTTCCACATTCCTCGCCCCTCTTCCAAGCCCTCCACCATTTTTTTCCTTCCCTGGAAAAAGCTTCCCCCTGAGTCCCTCACAAATGCTGAAAATGACCAATTTATTATTGTTTTTGGTTTTGAAGGGATTATTATTAGGTGTGTTGAGTAAGGAAACTTGTCCAAGGTTTCGCCCTGACCTGCCTGGAATTGAATTCAGGTCTCTCACTTGCAAAGCGAGTGCTCTAACCACTGAGCAGGACTCCACATCTCAAGACCCTCTTCTTCGACAGTGCTTTCGATCACCCTGTTTCCCCCTTGCCCTCCACCCTCCCCGATCCTGACCCCCAGCTCAGGTGCAAAACTTCAACCGTCCAGTGCCTTGAGATGTCCTCCCGACGTGAAAGGCACTATACAAATGTAATTTTTACTGTTGTTGTTGTTGAATAACCATCTAATAATAATAATAATCCTTGCATTGATATAGCGCTTTTCATGTCTTCTCGACGTCTCAAAGCTCTTCACAGAATATGCTGTAAAGTGAATTGACTGTATATTTGTGGGCAAAACGCAGCAGCCAATTGCGCACAGCAGCGTCCCACTAACAGTCGTGGATTGAAAACGACCAATTTATTATTGCTTTGTTTTGGCGGGATTATCATTAGGCTTGTGGAGTAAGGAAACTTGCCCAAGGTTTCGCCCTGCCTGGAATTGAACCCAGGTGTCTCACTTGCAAGGCGAGTGCTCTAACCACTGAGCTACAGGACTCCACAATCTTCAATTCTCTGGTGCCCCAGAAAATCCAGGGTTGTTTTGACCTTCTTTATGTTCCCCACCTCACTTGCCCCACTATTGGCGGGCGTGGCTTCTGCCACTCTGCCCCCACCCTCTGGAACTCCATCCCATAGTCCCTCCGCCTTGCCCCCTACCTTGCCTCCTTCAAGAACTATCTCAGGACCCTCCTCTTCGACCGTGCTTTCGATCTCCCTGCTTCCCCCACTGCCGTTCACCCTTCCCCACCCCGACCCCCAGCTCGGGTCCAAAACTCTGTCTGTCCAGCGCCTTGGGATGTCCTCCTGACGTGAAAGGTGATCTACAAATGTAGTTTTGTTGTTGCTATTGTTTCCAAACCCACCCGCTCCTCCTGGTACAACAATCATCTCCGCTCACTCAAATCACAAACCCAGGTGCTCGGGCGCAGATGACAGAAAACCAGCCTCACGATTCACCGCCAGCTGTGACTCGAGCACCACCGCACCTACCGCCTCTCCCTTTCACAGGCCAAAACTTTTACTCCAAAGTCATCCTGGAGGCAAACAACAATCCAAAAATGCTGTTTTCCACCGTCCATCACCTGCTCTGTGCACCCCCTCAAACCCCCTCTATCCTCACATCAAAACCCAAGTCCGAAGGGGTCCTAGACATCTTTGCCTCAAAGACTGAAAACAACTGCTTAGCTGCATCATCCACCCCCCTGCCACATCACCTTCCACTCCACCCAGACCATCGACACCACCGTCTCCCTCCTCCATGGCTCCTGCCACTCCCCACTTCTTACACTCCTTTGCCCCCATTTCTCCCTCCGCCCTCTCAACCACAATTAACCGGATGAAATTCAACACTTACTGCCACGATCCACTCCCCACCCAGTTGCTGGTCATTCAACCACCTCCTGCTGCCTGAAAGGTGCACCAGTCTCTCTCCTCAGGCTCTGTTCTTCTCCCTCTGAAAACTAATGTTATAACACCACTCCTCAAAAAACCCACCCACAACTCTGAAACACTCTCCCTCAATTCTTCTACCTTGCCCCCTCTCTTCCCTTTTTCAAGTCCAGCCTGAAAACCTTCCTCAATCCCTCTAATCTCACACTACCATCCCATCTGCAACCTACCCTTCCTTGCCAAAGTCCTGGAATGCATTGTTGCAGATCAACTTCAGTCACTCCTTGAGCTTTTGCAGAAGGTTTTTGCCCTGCCCACAGCAGAGAAACAGCTCTTCTCAAAGTCACAGATGACGCTCTGCCTCCTCATCCTCCTGGATCTCTCTGCCGCGTTCGACACAGTCAACCACGCCATCCTCCTCCACCACCTCTCCTCCCTCGTCCACCTTAGCAGGACCGCACTTAACCAACCGCCTCCATTTCATTTCGGCAAATGGTTTCTCCTCCCACGCCCACCCGGTCACCTGCAGGATACCACAGGCCTCCATACTTGACCCTCTTCTTTTCCTTATCTATATGCTCCCTCTGGGCGATATTATCTGCAGACATGGGGTAAACTTCCACATGTATGGGTATGACACACAAATCTACATTGCCTTCTCCAGTACCAACTCCAGGTCCACTGATGTTCTATCAGCTTGTCTGGCAGACATCAGGGCGTGGATGAGTGCAAACTTCCTGTAGCTGAATTTGGACAAGACAGAAGCCATACTCCTTGGCTCCCGTCAATGTCTTCACTCCTGCCGATCTAAACTCCTCAACCTCCCTGGGCTCTCCCTCAGACTCCCCGAACCAGTGCGCAATCTAGGCGTTCAGTTTGACCCCCATCTGTCCTTCCTCCCCCACATCTGGTCCCTGACCAGGACCGCCTTCTTCCACATTTGGTCCCTGACCAGGACCTCTGCCACATTGCCCGCCTCCAACTATACCTTATCCCAAATGTAGCCAAAACCCTCATGCAGGCGTTTGTTACATCCCGCCTGGATTACTCAAATGCACTCCTCGCCAGTCTCCTCATCTCCACAATTCAAAAGATCCAGCTCATTCAGAATTCTGCCACCCGGATACTTCACCGGACCAAACTCCATACGCACATCTCACCAGGTTATATGAGGTGCCACAAATTTAACTTTGGTTAGGGTTAGAAGCAAGTTCACGATTATTATCGTATTCATAAAGCAGTTTTACCTTGGCCGTCCAGAAATTCCTGCAGAAACGTTTCAAAATTTTTCGGAGTTTTCATGTACTTGGCGAATATTCTAAAATGATAGTAAGAAACTGCAACATCCTTGGGGTTTCGGTAGATATAGATAACCTGCCAAAATATAACAGAATTCCAATTATAATGCTCAGGCTTTGCTGCTTGGCTTAAAGGTTATTAACACAGATATGTTGGTCCATTCAAATCAGGCAAGTCACATCCTCACAAGAGAAGTACAGGTGAAAACATTCAAATGAAGAAGAGTCCAGCACTTCAGCCTTTGCCATTCTTTTTGGTAATGAATTCCAGTCATTGAAAACCCTGTGCCCTTGTTCCCATTGTCTTTGAGCATTTGAAAGTACTACTAAAAATAATCCTTGCATTTGATATAGCGCCTTTCAGATTAGGAAGGTAACAACAAGAAGATTAATTTATATAGTGCCTTTCACGTCAGGAGGACCTATCATCATGATCTATTTGGGTCTCCTGTATGAAGCTCCTTGGATATTGCTTTGAGCAGGACCCATCTTTCATGCAGGGAGATTTTCTGTTGAATTGTCTTCATGGGCCATGAATCATGTGCTTCTTTATGATTTCAAGGAACACAGGGTCTCTGTGTGGGTTTGTCAGTTCTGCAGAGATGACATTGTCCATTTGGTTTGGTTGTGTTTTTTTTGATGAGCCATAGAAGAATGTGTGCATGGGGAAGGCCACACTTTCGCCACTGAATGGTGTACAACAACAACAAAATTACATTTGTATAGTGCATTATCCGTCGGGAGGACGTCCCAAGGTGCTGATGTAGAGATAACAACAGACTTTATAAAGTCATGAGTTTTGGTGATAAGCTCCTTCAGTTTAAGAACGTTGAGGTCTTTGCAAGACCTTTCTGATGAGGTATAAATCATGTCTCTACTTCAATCTGTTATTGAGATCTTGACTGATACACACATAGACAGACAGACTCACACAGACAGACACACACACACATAGATACTCTCATACACACATACAGACAGACAGACAGACTCTCACACACACACACACACAGATACTCTCATACACACAGACAGACTCTCTCTCTCACACACACACACACACACACACAGATACTCTCATACACACAGACAGACAGAGACAGACTCACACACAGAGACAGACAGACAGACTCACACACACACAGACAGACAGACAGAGACAGACTCACACACAGAGACAGACAGACAGACTCACACACACACACACACAGACAGAGACAGACAGACTCACACACAGAGACAGACTCACACACACACACACAGACACTCACACAGACATTGTATCTTTGTTAGTAATTACTTGAGCTATCAGAGCTCCTATTGGCTGTCCTCCCTGGCAATCACCCTAAGGGAGAAAAGGTCCCGCCCTTCCCACGCTCCCATTGAACCCAGACGATGCCCCGCCCTCGCCTCGCTTCCATTGGTTTCTTTAGCCGTCACTTAGCCATTTTTCGTCATCTCATTGGTTCCCATTCGCCCCACGGCGCTCCCATTGTTACGTCCCCCCGTTGCACATGCCGGTGAAGAGGTACCGCCTCCTGGCGCTTCCATTGGTTGCCCTACATGTCAGTCAACCGCTTCCCGCCCTCTCATTGGTTTACGTCCATGCAGAATGTAGGTAAACAAAACACAAAAGCAGAACGCCAATGTAGGTGCTCTGTGACGCATGATGCACAGCGCCACTTTAACTCGGCGGCCACCGGGTGTAACTGCAACGAAAAACGCAAAACTGATATACATTTTAGGGCATAACTGATGGACAGTAGGAGATACCCGAAAACAAATATGCCCACGGCACTCCCAGTTACAAGACCTTTCCAATGAGGTATAAATCTTGTCTCTACGTCAATCGGTTATTGAGCTCCTTCTTAAAGCACAGACAGACAGATATTGCCATTTTATTAGTATATATAGTATGCATAATACTGTATATAAATGTAATCTATACAAATACAAACATAACTGTAATTGTTCTGATTTGACGCTGCACCTTCACCAGTAAGGCTCACCATTTTTTACAGCATCTTCAAAACAGTAAAAATCGTACCTTGCCCTTTTTCTTCTTCAGAGCTCTCGGAATCAGATCATAATTCAAATGTGTGACAAAGAGACGTGGTGATGGACGGTCGTCAGTATTAATAGAATCTATTTTTAACTCAAGCCAAGGAACTTGCAAATAAGAAGCCTTGTTCTCTGAATCGTCGAGATCGACATCTGTAAAGATCTCTTTCATAATGTGCTGCATCCATACTGTTCCTTTGGTTCAATAAACAATTTTGGAATAATCAGCAATTATCAATTGAATGCCGTTATAATAATAATAATAATAATAATCCTTGCATTTGATATAGCGCTTTTCATGTCGGGAGGACGTCCCAAAGCGCTTCACAGAACACACTGTAAAGTGAATTGACTGTATATTTGTGGGCGAACACGGCAGCCAATTGCGCACAGCAATGTCCCACAAACAGTCGTGGATTGAAAATGACCAATTTATTATTATTTTTTTGGAGGGATTATTATTAGGCTCTGTGTGGAGTAAGGAAACTTGCCCAAGGTTTCGCCCTCTGCCTGGAATTGAACTCAGGTCTCTCACTTGCAAAGTGAGTGCTCTAACCACTGAGCTACAGGACTCCACAAATATAAGGTCTCAATACACATTCATATCAATTGAATTTTAAAAATCAATTCTTCTCCCTTCATAAAACTCTGTCACAGAATATTCCCCAACATTTACACTACATATTCAGAATTCTTTAAATTCAGAAATATTATTATGGCCCACAGTTATAATAAACAGAAAGAGTTACAGCATCTACACATGGCAAAGTTACCAGATAATCTACACAATATTGAATATCCTACATTAGAGACGTCAGGTTTTTAAAACTGACACTTGTCTTTGATATAGTGCCTTTCTCTGTTGAAATATCTCAAACTGCTTTAAAGAGTTTTCTGTAAAGTGCACTGACCTTGTATCGTAGGCGAATGTGACAGCCAATTAAGCACACAGCAATGTCCCACACTCATGAAGTGAATTACCAAATTTATCTGTTAATTATCGATCAGGACACCGGGAGAAACTCCAATCTCTTTTTGCGTAGGACATGGAATCTTTGATGTCACCTGAACGGGGACCTTGGTTTAAAAACTCAGCTGAACGGAACCCTTAACTATGCAGCACTTCCCCCAGCATTGCATTGGAGTGTCAAACTGGGAGCTAAAAGTCACAGAATATTCTGTAAAGTGAATTGATTGTACATTTTGTGTGCAAAACATGGCAGCCCATTATGCACAACAGTGTCCCACAAACAGTCTTGGACTGAGAATGGAAAGAGAGAGAGACTGATGAAATTCGAAGAGCGACGTCCTTGGGACGTCCTCCCGACGTGAAAGGCGCTATACAAGTCTAATCTTGTTGTTGTTTGAGCACTGCTGTGTAGAAACAACCTTCTATATGGCACATGTCTGGACACAGTTGAAGTGAGTAGTTCTTTAAATGACGTGTGTCACAAGAGAGAAGATTTACATGTGTTACTGAATTTGCAATCACTACCATTTGTGCACGTCTCTGGCTGACATCTTTTTGATAAAAAGAAGTAGAATTGGGTTTTCAGGGCAGAGCAACTGACTGAGTTGTAACCACCGCTGTCCGGTAATGTTACAATAGAGCCGATTGCATCAATTTTAATCAAAGATTTTTATTTTACCAATTTCATACAAGATCTAATTTTACATTTATTACACACATGACTTAACATGAAATATATGTCATCTCCGTTACCTAACTTCATTTACTTCTTATACTCACCAGACTTTGGGTAGGTTACCACATAAACATCCGAGTCTCGCACATCATAATTTTCCATTTGCTCCAGGCGTTCCAGAACGTGAGCTACTGAAAATATGCAGCCTTTGTAAGTGAAACTTTTGCTATCAATTAACTCAGAGCTTTGCTCATCCATGTTTTCAGTGAATTAAAGAGCAAGCTTTGGTTAAAGGATTTTTTTAAAAAGCTGCAGTTGCAGGCAAAGTAAAAGTGGAAGTGAAATTTTACGGGAACTATTGCTTCAAGGGAGAAATATTGGGCGGTTGTTAAAACAATCTAACTGGGATCCCTCTTGTGCCTGCAAGCTTCTCTTTCAGTACTGGGAGGAATGATTACAGGATCACAGTGGTCTGGACATAAGTAAACAATGAAGAATAATCTGGAAGTTAAAGATTAACGTATACATCCAAAGATAAATAAACAATCTTTATGTCACAGATTCTTCAGGCTACAGTGGGGCCAGGCACCAAATAGTTTAAACATTACTGAATACTTTGAAAAAATTTCAATTACATAATTTTTGCTTCCCTCCTTCAGCCTTCGCAAACACAATTAAAGTTTTGTTTCCCGATATAGAGATTTTGTTGTGAAGAATTGACCAAAGACCATTCCAGAACTCTAACTGACCAAATATTCCAGGACGATCTGCAATAGATTCTGTAAATTACCATACTACAGTATGGTTCACTACAGCTTTCTTTGAGTAAAGCAACAACAACAACAACCACGCCGGGCAGAATCTCAGAGCGCTTAACAATCGTGGAGCCCAAGGCCAGCTTTGCTACAAGTTAACAGCTCATTCAGGCTGTTACAATGTGTTAATAACTAACGCACAATACGTGCCATACGCCCATCATCTAGTTTTTCATCATTAAGTTTAACAATACCTGACTTTGAAGTAATCCTCCTTGGGGGGAAGTAAGCAGAGTCTCATTGGAGCTGAACTGGCTCCAAGGTGACATGCCTGGCAACGGAATGTCGGAATCGAGCCGACCCTCTGTGGCAGTCTCTGTAGTCCGATTCCTGAGCCAGGAGGGTCCGCAGTATTCCAGGGCACTGCTGATGACAGCCCAGCCAGTCTGGCTCATCGCCAGGATGTGGAAATGCCTACCAGTCACTGGGGGTAGGGAGTCATCCCATTCAAAAAATCTTATTTGGAATGAAAATTATTTATCTGCAATTGCAATTTACATTTATATAGCTCCGTGCACATTGGGAGGACTGCTCTTCCCTCCACAAGCTGCAGGCTCTCCAAAACTCCATCACCATTTCCACCAAATTAAATAGCTGTTACTTGAATCAATCAACTTGTCCAACTCAGTCTGGGTTATGAACTTGTTTATAGGTGGATATTAGCTACTAAAAAATTTGTTCAGAATTAACTTTCAACTCAGATAATGTAACAGGTCGGCCAGCTATATGATGCACACACAATTCTCCCACTTTTAGCCATCCTACAAGTTCTCGGGAACCCCATTGCAGAGCCCTTCTGCCTCACTTCTCCTTCTCCGTCTTCAAAACCCACTTGAAGAACACACTTTGTCCACCTTTCCTCTAACCCCCGAGCTCGGGTTCCCACTCAGCTATGTGAAACATATTGAATAGTCCTCCTAATGTGCACGGAGCTATATAAATGTAAATTGCAATTGTAGATAAATAATTTTCATTCCAAATAAGATTTCATGTTTTGGAGATATTTTTGCATTAGAATGTTTTGCATTGTAATAACTATCCAAAATAGGTTTACAGACAAACTGATGCTGGGTAAATCATTATAATGATCATGCCTTTCTGGAAGCTGATAAAGTTTATTTGCCTTTCATAAGCAAATGATAAAGTTCAGTACATTTTGCACAGCAGGAGGAGTGAAAGGCCATGGATACGCGCAGTGTTTGGTTGCCTGAGAAAACACCCATCTGAATTATCAGTAATATGTCATCACATGAAAATGGTTTGTCCAAAGTACGCAAGCTGATTCAGCACAGTGAGCTTAGATGTCCTAAGCACCCACAAGTGTAACAATGTACATGTCAGGTCGATTTCTCAAAGCGCTTCATATACTGTAAAGTGAGGTGCTTTGTGTGGAAGTGTATATGATAGCTCCGCAACTCTTTTGAACCCTTTGTCTTAGAATCATTTGCGCCCAGAAAACAATTTGAAGAAGCACCATAAGTCTTTGTTGCAGAACAGGGGTCATAATTTTGCACCAATTGTTTACAGTTACATGGGTTCAGAAGAAAGCTTTGGATCAAGATTCCATTTGGACTCATTCTTTCAGAAAACCGACCTTACCTGTTTCTTAAATGAACACTTCTTGCTTCTTGAAATTTGTGCTCCATGACCTCTCCTACTACTGTACAAGAAGCTCACAAATAAGTATAAGATGAGAACTGGGGGATCTAAATGACAATTTAGGATTTAGGATGAACTAACTTTCTGTCCCCCGGGGGGACACATTACATGCTCATTGTGCCCAAGAACTTCCTGTACCCCAGGACCTGTGTCCTTCAATGAGAATCAATCAGTTCGGAGAAGGAGGTGTCATTGGCTGGAAGAGCCTAGTCACGGCAAGTTTCCCTTTCAGTCTGTGCCTGGTCAATTGTCGGTGGGCACAAGACAAGAGCAGAAAAGCCGTCCACATTATCATCCCAATGGTATCTTTTAAAACTCGCTAGATCACAGAGCTTGACTTACCACCTATATTTTTTCTATATTCCTTTTTAATTTGATATTTTCTGGGGTAATTTTCAGCCAAGACTGAAACAATTGCATTTGGATACTTTACTTTTTATTTCTTACCCGCATTTGACAATAATTCCTGCAACAAGGCTTTGAGATAAGACTTTCAAGGTGCTGTGAAATATTTGCGAGTTGTTTATTTTGTCTTTTCTCAGTAAAATGTTTTGTAAAAAGTATTTAGGAAAAAAATACAATCCAGTGCCAGAGCTTCCGGCCGCTTTCCCCCACTTTACAGTATACAAAATCACTCCACTTCACAGTATATCTTGTGAAGCGCTATGAGACATGTCAATGACGTGTAAGGCACTATGTAAAATACAAGGATTATTAATACTACTGTCTGTGTACACTCATCATTAAAGTCACCAGCTCAGCACTGTCCCAGGGAGGAGTTTCATAGTATTGTCTCAATGTTTTGTAGCTTAGTGGTTAGAGCACTCACCTGGCAAGTGAGAGTACCCAGGTTTGATTCCTGGGCAGGCCGAAACGTTGGGCAAGTTTCCTTACTCCACACATCTCTGTTTACCTAGCAGTAAGTAGGAACCCAGTTGTTAGTCGATTAGTGGATCACTTTTCTGGGGGTAATAATCCCTTATAAAAAGTAATAATTTACTGTTTGTGGGACACTGCTGTGCGCAATTCGTTGCCACGTTTTGCCCCCAAAATATACAGTTAATTCACTTTACACTATATTCTGTGAAGCGCTTGAGACGTCTCGAAGATGTTACAAGGTGCTATATCAAATGCAAGTATTATTATTTTTAGTATTATTAATATTTTATTAATATATTTTATTAATAATATTCCCAAACTTGACTTTGCTTTAATGTCTTATCTGAAAGGTGGCACCTCCCACAATACAAAACTCCTCAGCATTGGAGGGTTAGACTAGGATATTTAATTATATCAGCTTGGTATCAGCGGTAGTACTCTCACCTCTGAGTCAGAAGGTTATGGGTTCAAGGCTCATGTCAGGACTTGGGATCACGTTGTCTATGCTGACACTCCAATGCTGGGGGGGATGGGGGGTGGGGGTGGGGGGGTCACATTGTACGCATTGCATTTGTTTGTTTAACCAAGGTCCCATTTTGCCTGTTCAGGTGGATGTTAAAAATCCCATGAGACTATTCCAAAAGAGAATAATAATAAAACTAGTCCTTGCATTTGATATAGCATTTTGCCACATCGCTGAGACATCTCAAAGAGCTTCACAGGATGTACTGTAAAGTGGATTGACTGTGTATTTTGTGGGCGAAACACAGCAGCCAGTTACGCACATGAATCTCTTTTCGGATAATGCGATGGGATCTTTGACATCCGCCTGAGTAAGCAGACTGGACCTCACTTTAACATCTCGATGGCACCAATGCATCACACACTGTATTGAAGTGTCACCTTAAGGACCTTGTAATTCCAAGTCCCAATTTGGGGCTTGAACCCACAACCTTCTGATTCAGCGGTAAGTGCGCTACCACTGCGCCAGGCTGACACATGAGGCAGCAGACTAAAATGTCCCACAAACAGCCGTGGAACGAGAGATCATTTTTTGGGGGGTTTAGGGCATTGTTGACCAGGACACCAGGAGAAAATCCCTTCTCTTGAAAAAATAACAGAAAGACTAAAACTCAGACTTGGCTCACTCAGATTTGCTGCTGGTTTCCTGCCCCACTGTCTCCATCAGTGCCCAAGCTTTCAGATTCTATGCCTCTTATCTCTGGAACTCCCTCCCTCTAACCCTCCACCTCTCTCCCTTTCTATCAATCTTTAAATCCCACCTTAAATCCTATCTCTTCAACTGCACCTATGGTCAATTCCCCACTTCCCCTCTGCCTTCTCCCCTGTTTGGAATCTGACCCTGTCAATGTTAAGCACTTCACAAAGTTATCCTATGTAAAGGATGGTATATAAATGCAAGTATGTTAACGTGAGCAGAGGTATTCTTTGCAATTTTAGAAAAAAATTTAAGGAGGAGATGGGCAAGAATTTCCTCCAATTACTCCCTGGATCTCTCAATCATAAGTTGCTGACTGAACCCACGACTGTTTGTGGGACACTGCTGTGTGCAATTGGCTGCCATGCTTTGTCCACAAAATATCCAGTCAATTCACTTTACAATATATTCTGTGAAGTGCTTTGAGACGTCTTGAAGGCGTGATAAGGTGCTATATCAAATCCAAGGATTATTATTAATATTATTATTAGAACTTATTATAAGTAAAACATTATTTTGTGAAAAAACAAATGATCAGGCATGTCTGTAAAACAATTAATTCCCGAACCTTCTGACAGTTAAATACAAGTAATTAATGTCTAGACTTGGAGCTGTCACAGACACCCTATTATTTTGTGTACTTTGCCTTCTTTATGTCTGTGTACTGTTGAAAGCTTCTTTATGTCTGTGTGCTGTTGAACCCCTCGGTGACATCATCCGCAGACATGGGGTTAACTTCCACATGTAAGCGGATGACACCCAACTCTACCTTTCCTCCTCTACCCTCAACTCCACGACCACCGATGTCCTGACAGCTGCCTGTCCGACATCGAGTCCTGGACGAGAGACAACTTTCTTCAGCTCAATGTGCGCAAAACTGAGGCCCTCCTGATTGGCTCACGTCAGCGCCTCCACACCTCAGGCACTGACAGCATCAGCATCCAAGGCTGCACTCTCCACCTCTCAAAGCCGGTCAGGAACCTCGGGGTTCTGTTCGACCCTGAGCTGTCCTTTCTCCCTCATATCAGCGCCACAACTGGCACCGCCTTCCATCACCTCCGGAATATCACCAGACTACGGCACTACCTCACCCCTCACGCTGCTGAAACTCTGGTCCACACCTTTATCACCTCAAGGCTGGACTATGGGAACTCTCTCCTCGCCGGCCTTCCCGGCACCTCCCTCCACAAGCTGCAGGTCATTCAGAACTCTGCAGCTCGTGTACTGTCCCGCACCAGGCTTCGCGACCACATCACTCCCACCCTCGCTCGCCTCCACTGGCTCCCCATCCCCCAGAGAATCGATTTCAAGATCCTCATCCTCACCTACAAGGCCATTCACGGCCTTGTTCCCTCCTACCTCTCCGACCTACTATCCCCCTACCTAACTGCCTGTACCCCCCGTTCCTCTGGCTCCGGTCTGCTCCACATCCCCGCCCCAACCGCCCTACCATCGGTGGCCGGACCTTCAGCCTCTCAGCCCCGAGGCTCTGGAACTCCATCCCCCAGTGCCTTCGCCGCCTCCTCCCTTTCCTCCTTCAAGGCCGGTCTCAAGACCTTTCTCTTTGATCGTGCCTTCAGCTCCCCTCTCGACTCTCTACCCCCTCCTCGCTCCCTCCCTTCCCTCCCCTCACACTGACCATTTCCCCCCTGCTCGGGTCCTGACCCAACTGTCCAGCGCCTTGGGATGTCCTCCAGACGTGAAAGGCGCTCTATAAATGGAATCTTGTTGTTGTTGTTTTTGTTGAACGCTTGCACATGTGTGATTACGCCAAAAGAAGTCGCTTAACGTTAAATGCTTTTACGGTCCATAGACAATATATAATTTAAAGCAATACCGCTTTGGCGACATCAATTCTGGGATTTGGAAATGAGTTGAAACAAAACAGTGGGAAACAAGATCATATGGATCGAGGGGAGGGGCGCAGAGACATAGTAATACTTTGTATTTTTGGCAGGGAAAAGTATTATTAGATTTATTCCAAAACGGGTTGGGCTTAAAGTATTTAAAAGGAGAGGGCTCGATTGACTAGGGGTCACACTTCACCTTGTTTATTTCATCAAAGTATGTGCCTCACTTGAGGAGAAGTCTGTTGTTGTTGATGTCTGATAGATATTCTGTCAGGTCAGCAATGGTCCTAGAGTCGAGTGTAGAGACAGAGAGACAGACTAAACGCAAAATACTGCAGATGCTGGAAATCTGAAACAAAAACAGAAGTAGAGAGATAGAGTTGTGTTTCATCCACATACATATGCAGATGATGTCAACAAGAGGGAGCTTATAGATATTGAAACCCCAAAGTTTGCTTTTGATCCAACCAGGTTGGTGTTTGCTGAATGGAGAGTGGACAGGGCAGTAATGGTTATAATAATAACAAAAATAATAATCCTTGCATTTGATATAGCGCTTTTCATGTCTTCTTGACATCTCAAAGCGCTTCACAGAATAGACTGTAAAGTGAATTGACCATATATTTGTGGGCAAAACGCGGCAGCCAATTGCACACAACAGTTTCCCACAAACAGTCGTGGTTTGAAAATGACCAATTTATTATTGTTTTGGAGGGATTATCATAGGTCATAGAAGAAGAGCGGGACAAGGCTATGGAGACTGAGTGTATTTAATGATGATAGAAATCTTTGCATTTGATATAGCACCTTATCACATTGTTGAGACGCGTCAAAGCACTTCACAGAAGATACTGTAAAGTGAATTGACTCCATATTTTGTGGGCGAATGTGGAAGCCCATTTGTGCACCGCAATGCTCCCACAAACTGTCATGGAGTGAATGACCCAATTTATTTGGTGGAGTGTTGGACAGGGCACCAGGAGAAACTCCCTTCGCTTTTTGAATAATCCCATGGCATCTTTAAAGTCCACTGGAACCTTAATTTATTGTTTCATCCAAAGGCCCTCAGTAGAACCAAAGAAAAGGAGCTTTATTCTGATAGCAGGGTCCAGTGCAAATGTGGAAAGCTCACAATAAAAGCAAACTAGCAATGAACTCCTTAACTGAAATTTGGGAACATTATCTGCTTGAGGGGACTATCAGTGTTCATAGGGTTTTCTGTGGATGGAAATACTCCATGGAATACAATGTACTCCTGGGGTCAAGGAGAGGAATGTTGGCTTGTGGAGAGCAGGATGTTAAGTTTGAACATTACCATTCAGCAGATGGGAGTGTATTTGGATTTTTTTTGTGTGGTTCAGGCAGATTCTTTGCAGAGCTTTCAGGAGATTTCGGTGAAATTGGTGATAGAGTAGGCAAGGGAATGGGCGAGCTTGATAGGCTTAATTGCTCTTTTCTCATTCCATTATTGCTACGTTTAGAACTAGAAAGTGAATAATAAAATACATTTATATATAATATAATCCTTGCATTTGATATGGTAACTCGTTAGGTCATTGAGTCACCTCAAAGCACTTCGCAGCATATATTACAAAGTGAATTGACTGTATTTTGTGGGCAAAACTTGGCAGTAAATTGCACACAGGAGTGTCCCACAAACAGTCATAAATAGAGTGACCATTTTAAAAAATGGCCCCGCCGCCCCCCACTCCCCATCAACCCCCTGCCCCTCCTCCCCATCCCACCACCCCCTCCCCCCTCCACACCTCCCCCCTCCACACCTCCAGAAGAGAGAAGTAACTTGGTAAAATGGGGCACAGGGGGATCAGGAGTCCTGTAGCTCGGTGGTTAGAGCACCCGCCTCACAAATGAGAGACCTGGGTTCAATTCCCAGCAAGGTGAAACTTTGGGCAAGTTTCCTTACTCCACACGCTTGATAATAATCCCTCAAGAAAAAAGCACAATAATAAAATTGGCCACTTTTAAAGGGACTGTGTTTTTTTTAACCACAGTGACTTTACCACATTCCCTTCACAGTTTCTCCTCACACTGAAGCGGAATTGATTTATCGTTAACTTATCACATAACAACCAACTATGGAAGGAAGTCAAATTGTTTCTCCAGGTGAACTTTGTGGCAGGGAGGAAAATCCAAAGTGAATAAGAATAGGAAATTAATAAACATTGAACACATGGTATGATCAGGAATAATTGAAACCAACTTTATTTTAATATAATATGTTCAAGTATGTGTGGCTGTAAATGGTCCAATAATTCCAATTTCCGTCAGTTCTTCTGAATCTCATTAAACTTTTATTCATAATTGAATCGAGAAACTCCTGAATAGAATGGTGTGTCACCTTGTTCCAAGATTTATCTCTATTAGCATCGAGTGGTTAAGACTTCTCCTGATTTGGAAGCTCATTCCCTTTTTCATCGGATTCAATACTATAGTTTATGGGTTTGCAGAATCGTAAATCATAAAAAAAGTTGCTTCACTACAAGTCAAACAAATCAAACTAAATCATTTGCCTGTATTTGTGAACATCGATCTTCACTTATTTTGACCCTCCCATCCTCTATGAAATGCTGCTAATCTGTATTTTTAAAATTATTTATATATTATCCCAGGAGAATCTTAAAGGAGAATCCTTCAGTTTTTCTTGGAAAATTCTGTTGAACATTTCAATCTGAGGCTCCGCAAAATGTTTTTCCAAGTCTGCAAATGTGCCTGAAGGGACAAAAAACAAAGTAAAAAGGAGAATAAATATTCAGAATGACTCAACATTTCAATCTGAGGCAATTTGAAATTGAAAGTCTGAGGAGAATTGAAATTTCAAAATGAAAAACAACAACTCGAGTTTATATTGTGCCTTTTGTGTAAAAGAGCATTCTGACAGTTTCATAAAATGAGTTTAATTAGAAACAACTAGTGATAATAATCCTTGCATTGAATATAGTGCCTTTTCAGATCATTAACAACAACAACAACAACAACAACAACAACAACAAGATTGCATTTATTGAGCGCCTTTCACGTCGGGAGGACGTCCCAAGGCACTGGACAGTTGGGTCAGGACCCGAGCAGGGGGGAAGTGGTCAGGGTGAGGGGAGGGAAGGGTGGGAGCGAGGAGGGGGTAGAGAGTCGAGAGGGGAGCTGAAGGCACTGTCAAAGAGAAAGGTCTTGAGACCGGCCTTGAAGGAGGAAAGGGAGGAGGCGGCGAAGGCACTGGGGGATAGAGTTCCAGAGCCTCGGGGCTGAGAGGCTGAAGGCCCGGCCACCAATGGTAGGGTGGTTGGGGCGGGGGATGTGGAGCAGACCAGAGCCAGAGGAACGGAGGGTACGGGCAGGTAGGTAAGACGCCTTAAAGTGCTTTAGACATAGAAGCTAATAGCACACAGCAATGCCCCACAAACAGCAATGAAGTAAATGATATGTTTTATTTGGGTGATTGTTTGCCGTACAGAAACTTCCTTCTTTTTTCAAATAATGCCATGGAATCTTTAACATCAACCTGGACCTCAGTTTAACGTCTCATTTGAAAGAAGGCACTTCTAACAGTGCAGAACAAGGCACTGGAGTGCCAGTTTAGACTATATGAATTCCATGGCCCAATGTGGGGCTTGAACCCACAACTTTTGATTCAGAGGCGAGAGTGCCCCAACTAAATCTGTCTGACATATCAACTAAACAAATGGTCTATATAACAGGCCAATTTCAAAAATATCGAGGCAAAAATTCCACCTGGGTCTGTATTTCCTAGTGTTTCAGAGTGTCCAGAATTTGGCAAAATGTTAAATTGGCTCTTAACCTTGAAGTCCTTTTTCTGTAGCTCTTAAAATAACTTACAGAAAAAACAACTTCAAAATTAACGCTGCAGTTAAGAATTTGTCAAATTCTAGATGATATGAAATGCCTCATAAAGCAAGTAAATCTAGACTAGGGTGGAAATCCAACATATTTATGAAGTTTTAATGGCCAAATTTACTGTTCAAATATTTATCATAGAAATCTGCTGGGTAATTGTGATAACAACAACAAAATTACATCTGTAAAGCGTCTTTCACATTGGGAGGACGTCCCAAGTGTTAATAGGATTTCTCAGAAAAGCTTTAGGACAAGGAGGCATATATTTGAGCTCTGAATTGCACAGACAGTTCAGATCAAAGAGTTTTATAAAGAGACTGGAGAACCTTTAGATTAAACAATCTAGGGATGGGCAGAGACAGATTGTGTCAGCAAATTTAAGAGTGAATTAGACAGCTATTTGGTGATGAGTTCAACTAAAGGCCATCAGAACTAGTCATGTCGGATTATTTACCTTCTTAATTCAGTTTTTCCTCCTTTGAGACAAGCTAGAATGATCTGTTCTGGCCATGTACATGCCTGCATTCCAGTATTCATTTATTTCATTGGAATGGGGACTTTGGAGTAAGGGGATCCTCTTGTTTGCATGTTCTTTTTATCAAAACGGTCAATGTGAACTAACTGTTGGAAACCTTATTGTACACTTAGCACAAGAGTGCTGGCAACCGAGCCAAGCTTCCAAGTGTTCACCATGTAAACACATACAGCAGTTAACTTATACCAGCAATGTGGCACAAACAATGAGATGAGTAACCAATGTATCTAATTTTTTAACCTGAATTTGAATTCAAATGCCAGGGAGATGGAAGCTTGGTTTAGTTGGTAGCACTCTCGCATCCGAGTCAACAATTGTGGATTCAAGCTCCGTATGTGGACATTGAACATTCCAATCCACTGATAGTTGATGGAGGGGGAATGGGTGGGGGTGCGATATGCAGCATTGTTAGAGGTGCTAAGAGTTTATGTGTATGATTTCCATTTGTCTGCCATGGAGTATGCACTCTCTCCCCAGAGGCTTGAGGACTATATCTGCACTCATCTATATTTGCAACAAAAACAGAATTCGCTGGGAACACTCAGCAGGTCAAGCAACACCTATGGAGAAAGGAAAGTGAGTCAATGTTTTAGGTCCACGACCCTTCGTTAGAACTGAACCTTCTGCAACCTTCTTCACCCTCACTAACCAACCTGTTCTCTTCACTGGTCTGCTCCGAAGCTCCCCGTTTATCTACCCCACCATGAGCAAGTGGGCTTTCAGCCACTTAGCACCCGCTCTCCGGAACTCCATTCCCAGATCCGTGTTCCCTCCCTGTTCTCTTTCAAGGTATGCCTCAAAACATACTTCTTTGTTCGCACTTTCAATCATCTTTCCCCTATCCCCCCTCCTCTCAACTCCCACCCTCTGCTCCAATGCCAACCAGAATTGATAAATGTTGTGGTACTCCACCTCCTCCCCATTAAGTGAAAGGTGCTAAATCAATGTAAATTCTAATTTTATCCAGTTCTATTTTGATGGAGTTATTCAACAGATCACAACTGTATTTGAGAGTTTATTCCCCATATACTGTGGATTGAGGATAGAGGAAAGAATTCTTCTAATCTCTTGTCTTTCAGAAAATTCACTCAGAATCAATTTGTATTTTGCACTTAATTTTAGGCAATTAGGTCATCCAGAATCCTGAGCTGCCCCTTTGGAATACAACTGTGTTTTTCAGAAACAACATGCCACATCGCTGTCACTTAGTCTGTGAAATGTCCACCTTCAAGCTCCCAATCCTGAGAAAGAACGGCTTATTTCAGGCAAAACAAATAATGTTACTGTCTCACATGATCTTCCATTCATTCAATAATGCCTTCAAGCTTAATCTGTCAATTTGTAGTACATAACTACCTTTTGTATGAGGAACACAAACAACTGATACTTGTATCAAACACCTTTATGGTAACTTTAATGTTGTTAATCATAGAAATGATTGATCCTGCAAATAGTCTGACTTGATAGCTTGACCCAATCATCAAAATGGCAAATGTTACTTTCAGCTCAATTAGCACTAGTGTCCCTTTAATGCTCTGTAGTACGCTGGCTAAAATTCCACTCTGCATTCCATTACAGTACACAGGAATTTACAGGGTGGAAACTCAGTCTGGTTTGGATATTCTTAAGCGTAGTGATAGGTTTCTGCACATGTCAGATACCCCGTTGATTAAAAAAATTATAAAAACACAGCGCTTGTTAACACCATAGCCTTACTGTGCAATAAAAACTCAAGTTACAAGTATTATCTGTAACAATTAGATAGATCGCCTGTTAGATCACAGATCACATTGTTAGATCGCCTATTCATTTGAGTGTTTTCTTATGACAATAGTACAGATTACAAGTGCATAGAGGAAATGCACAGAGGAAGTAAAAATAGGAAATACATGTATTGTGGATGGGATAGGAGCTGCCTAGGGGAAGTGGAAAGGAATCTTGGGGTGTTAGTTAACTCATCATTCAACAACAACAACTTGCATTTATATAGCACTCTCCACACTGGGCAGCATCCCAGGGCTTCACTATGTCAAAATAGTTTGAGGCAGCAATAAACAAGGCAAAGAGCATGCTGGGCTATATTACCATATCAGTTAAGTAGTTAAATTCAGACTCGAGCTGTATGATGGTCTGGTAAGGCAGTGATTAGTAAGATGGTCCAACGAGATTGCAGGATTAGTTGATGGACAGGCAGACGGTCCATGGGATGGGTTGATAGACAGGTGGATGATCCAATTGGAGTGCATACACACTGTATACATTATAAGTCTTCTTCCCCTAAACCAATTGTTGAGTAATTTCAACAAATAATTACCTTTTCGTAAGAATGCATTTTCCGGAGATTTGTCTGGGGTTTTTTCGTAATTGACCACTTGAGTTGCTTTCATGGTACTGAAGGTACATTGTTTTACAATTGTGTCAAGCTTTTTATCATCCAAGTGCTTCTCGAGGAAGTTGCATACTTTTTGTATTGCTCCTCTTAGATCCTGTTGGACATAATGGAATAGTTATTAATCTGGTATTATTTAATAATAATAATCCTTGCATTTGATATAGTGCCTTATCACATCTTCAAGATGTCTCAAAGCGCTTCACAGAATGTACTGTCAAGTGAATTGACTGTGTATTTTGTGGATAAAACTTGGCAGTCAATTGCGCACAACAGTGTCCCACAAACAGTCGTTGGAGGTTATCACAGACAGAGAAACTCACATGTCAATAGACTGGGAGAGACATGAGCAGCAAAAGGAAGGCAGAGGAGTAGCATGAGACCGACACAAACAAAGGGAGACTGAAGCAGAGATAGTTTTTACAAAGAATGTTTTATTGAGTGGCCTCAGACCTCTATACTAGCCTATCACTCGAAAGCTTAAAAGCTGGAAGTAATGCTAACCAATTTTTATTCATTGTTTTTCCTTAGCCTGTGTTTTCAGTTTGCACGTGATCATTTGAGATTAGTAAATGAGTGTTGCCATGTTGATTGAATTCCAATTATTAATTTACTTAAAGTGATAAAACAATGGACACAGTAGAAATGGCATAGGGCTGGGTCAGTGGAGAAATACAATATCTTGAAAAATCATTCGATTACCTTCTTCATGTCCTCATAAGTCATGTACAGAAAGTTGAACTCGTGCCTGTGATCATACCAGTCCTTGATGTGGTCAAACCAGGAGCTGAATTCCACTGCCGGAAAAAATATATAAATTATAATAATCCTTAATAATAATAATCTATACAATTGGTATAGCTTCGTTCATGTCGGGATGGCCTTTTAAAGCATTTCACAGGATATACTGTGAAGTGTTATTATTTTATTTTGTATTTGATTTGCAATTGTAAATTGCTGTAGGGAACAATTTACCGACTTCAATATATATGCGTGGTTCGCTAAAATAAGTTGCTTAATGTTAAGTGCATGTACGGTCCATAGACAATATATAATTTAAAGCAATACCACTTTGGCGAGATCAAGTCTGGAATTTGGACATGAGTTAAAACAAAACTGTGGGAAACAAGATCATACGGATCGAGGGTAGGGGGCGGAGACATAGAAATACTTTATATTTCTGGCAGGGAAAAGTATTATTAGATACATTCCAAAAGGGGTTGGGCTTAAAGTACTTAAAAGGAGAGAGTTCGATTGACTTGGGGTCACTCTTCACCTTTTTTATTTCATCAAAGTATGTGCCTGACTTGAGGAGAAGTCTTCCAGGTCATGATTGTTTTTTTCCTGTGTTTATTAACATTAGAGAAAACTGTATAGTTATAGTGTGTTAGAGTTTGTACTTCCAATGTTTCGACTGTTTTCATATTTATCGGGTAGTTTAAGTAGGGCATAGGATTTGTTAAGAATCAATAAAAATACTGTTGAGTTTTTTTGAAAGTGCTTCTCGAGTATCTGTCCAAATCAAAGGATACATATACAGGTTGAGCCTACATCACAGTCCATTAGTCTGTGGAAAGGACTCTGATGGAAGCTTCCCTTTGCCAGAATTATAAAGCACTGGTAGAACCTTCTCGTCGTGTTGAGTCTCATAAGGTAAGTTTTCACATAGTGGGGGAATTGCATTTCATGGAGAAGGATTCACACAGAGGCCACCTAGTACACTACGTGGGTTCCACATAGTGGGTTTACACACAGGGGTGAGAACCGTCGCAGAACACAAATTTAGCAGAGGCATCAAGAAGCATTTATTTATATAAAACAATAATCAATAGTTGGAATAGGTTCCCGGCTAGGGGGTTGAAGCCAGAATACATTACTCATTTAAGAAACAGGTAAGATTGTTTTTCTGAAAGATTGGAACCAAATGGAATCTTGATCCAACAACGTACAACAACAAAATTACATTTGCATAGCGCCTTTCACACCGGGAAGGCGTCCCAAGGTGCTGAACAATTAGTGTTTCGGACCCGACTTGGGGGTCAGGTTCGGGGAGGGTGGAGGGCCGTGGGGCAAGAAGGGGGAGAAGGAGGGTGATTGAAGCCACAATCCAAGAGGAGGGTCTTGAGACGGGTCTTGAAGGAGGCAAGGATGATAGGGGGGTTAAGAGGTCGCAGAGGTAGAGGAGGGCAACACCATGGAGGGCTTTGAAGGTGAGGACCAGGATCTTGAACATTATCGTCTGTGTGATGGGAATTTAGTGGAGTTGGGTGAGGATGGGGGTGATTCCGTCATGGAGCCTGGTGCGACAGAAGACATGGGGTGCAGAGTTCTGGATGATCTGAGGCCTATGGAGGGAGGAGTTGGTGTGGCTGATAAGCAGTGAGTTTGCATAGTCAAGCCACGATATTATAAATGTGTGTATGAGGGTTTCAGCGGCCTGCAGTGTGAGACAATGGCAGAGCCGGGGGATGTTGTGGAGGTTGGAGAAGCCAGAGAGGTTTGGTTTGCAATTGTAAATTGCTGTAGGGAACAATTTACCTACTTCAATTTATAATGAATTTAACTATCACACGGAAAAGAGTTGTGGGTTGATATAAAAATAGAAGGAAAGTAATAGACACTGATTAGATCTCGTGAAATTATAGGCAATCACTCATTGATAGACTATCACATTTCATATTTGAAACAAGTATAAGTCTCAGCTTTTTCTTGACAGAAATAGTATTATTATCCTTTTCCCTTCTCCAATTCTTTCCTCCATTTTTCTCCTCTTACCCTTTCCTGAAGTTAATGGACATTAAGAGCTCAACAGGTAGGTGGCTGCTCTTCACATGGCAAAGGATGTTAAGAAGCTATTGAACAACACTCTCTGTCATTCTTGGGCCCAAGTTTAGAAAACTAGAATAGCAACATTTTTATTTAACATTTATAAAGTACTCCACATAACAACAATTGCTAAATAAGGATAATAATCATAATCCTTTCTTTTGATATAGTACTTTTCACGTCTTCTAGACGTCTGAAAGCGTTTCACAGAATATACTGTAAAGTGAATTGACTATATATTTGTGGGCAAAATGAGACAGCGCACAGCAGTGTCCCACCAACAGTCGTGGATTGAAGTGACCAAATTAATCTTGTTTTTTTTCTTGAGGGATTATTATCAGGTGTGTGGAGTAAGGAAACTTGCCCAAGGTTTCACCCTGCTGGGAATCAAACCCAGGTCTCTCGCGTGCAAGGCAACTGAGCTACAGGACTCCACAGGACTCTACAGGACTAAATATTTACCTCTACCATCTACAAATTGCTCCATGAAGTCTTGAAAACTCTTCGGTGTTTCAAATGTGCTAAGATGATTATGCAAGTAGTACAAGGACATCAATACATCTCTGGGATTTCGAGCGACGTAAATAACCTGCAAGGAAAACAAGATCAATTATATGTGCAATGCACACCTAAAATTAAGCAAAATAACAAATTCAATTTTGATACTATAGTTGTTAAAGGCATTTGTTAAGTCATCGGAAAATTACTACAATATTACATTGAAAGGCAAAATCTAACTAAAATAAAATGAATTTATTGCCTCTAAATTCTATTCCAAGGGTATGTAGCCTTGAAATCAGAGCTAAAACAATTAGAATTGAGGTCAGGAGGTATTTCTTCACACAGAGGGTTATGGAGATGTTGAATGTTCTATCCCAGAAAGCTGCTGATGCGAAATGCTAGGAGGTAGCAGAAACTTGGATGGTAGATATATTTATGGTGGAAGGTTGGGGTCCTTGGATTACATAGATCTGACCAAAACTGGTGGAACAGGCTCACTGCTATATTCGTAAGATTTTTTCTTGCACAGAATGCTATTAGAGTATAATGCCGTATCACGAATAGCTGTTTAATACTAATCCATGAACACATTTGAAAAGAAGTTAGAGGAATACTTGAAGGAAAATAATATTAAGAGGTACAAAGAAAAAGCAGTAGTATGGGATAATAGTAGATAATACTGTCGGACAAGCTATTTGGTTTTAGCTGATTAGACTCCACAGTTCCCCAATCCACATTCTTGCCAAACTGCGCCTAATACATTCTGGAATTAGGTAAGCAGAATATGTCCCTCCAGGGAGAGAGTAGGTGTTTGATTCCAACAATCTATCTCTGGAATTTCCATGTATTAGTGGGATACCTGGAATTCTCAGTTTGGGTTGGATACTCTTAAGCATGGTGATTGGATTCCACATGTGTCAGACACCTGGCTGACAAAAAAAAGGAGATAAAAACATAGAATAAACCTTACATTCGACGTAGTGCCTTATCACGTCATCGAGACATCTCAAAGTGCTTTATAAGATAACTGTAAAGTGTATTGTGTACTTTGTGGGTAATTCATGGCAGCCAGTTACAATGACATGACAGCAATGACCCACAAAGAGCCATGGAGCCATAGCCAAAAACTCCCTACTCGTTTCTAATAGTGCTATGGGATCTTTAATGTCCACCTGAAGAGGCGGACGGGGCCTTGGTTTAACGTCTCATCTGAAGAACAATACCGCTAACAATACAACACAGTCCTTAGAGGGTCAGTTTAGACTACCTGATTCTAAGTCCCAATGTGGGCTTGAACCTATCAATTTCTGACTCAGAGGCAAGACTGCTAGCACTCAGCCAAGCTGACACACATTAGCTCTGGTAAGGGTGCAAATACCAGCACAGACACAATACTCCAGAAATTCCACCTTTTTTTAGCCTATAAATTTAAATGTTGTCTTAAATTTTAAGATAAGATGGTACAGAAATTCTTAAATTCAATCCAAATTTGGAAGCTTTTTTTCAGCCACATTTAAAAGATTGGCTTCCAAAGTAATACTCAAAATTTAAGAATTTCCCACAATTTTGCACAATCTTAGAATTTAAGACAAAGCTGCCTTTCAGGTTGAGACTAGGCAGTGTGTTGAATAGCTTCCTTGCTGTAAAATTTCTATGAATGGAAAATACCGTATATCCAATTGTAAATTGGTAATTGGTAAATTGTAAAGGTACAACATGAAGAAAATTGGCCCAATGGAAACAGAGAGGAAAAAAGACAATGTAAAGTTTGAAGACATCTATTAGTTTCCTTACTTTTCCTTGTTTGTCCTTCAGACCTTTTGGAACCAGATGATAGGGTAAGTGGGTAACACTCAGGCGAGGTGATTGGCGCACCTCAAAATTTGAGTTTGGGAGCTCAATCCAAGGGACGCGTTCCATTGCTGATTTACTTTGTACTGCTGGTGTGTCATCATCTGAATAGATTAAACTCAGAATCTGCTGCATCCACATGGTGCCTGAAGTATGATAGAAGCAAATAATGGTATTAAAACAAACTGCCAAATATTAATGATGTCTATTTAGTGGTATTTTTAGACTGCATTCTTTAATATGGAATCTGAGGCAGGCGAATGGCGCTCCTTCCAGTAACTGTAAATTTAGTGCGCTTTGGGATGTCCTCCCGACATGAAAAGTACTCCATTATATAAATGTAAATTCAGTTGTAAATACAACACCCCTCCCCCCACCCGCTCACCCCAGGTAACTGAACTACGAAGAGATTGATTTCATAGATTGTCATAATTTGCCATCGGGCCTTTGCTTTGTTCAGGACTTCCTGTTAGGAAATACCAAAACTTAGTTCCCAATATCTATCTAACCTATATAATATACTTTTTAAATATCTTAATCATAACAATTCAATTTTCCTATTTCTAAGCAGTGGTAAGAGATAAATTTTCTTACCGGATTTGGGGTACGTCACTGCAAATACATCACTGTCCCTTACTTCAAAATGTTCCAGTTTTTCTAAGTGCTCTATGGTATAGATAGGGGAGAGAAAGTTGCAGCCTTTGTACTGAAAACGTTGGCAAGTTGCTTTCTCAGACATGTTTACAAAAATGGAGAAGATTGGCAATGAGCATACAGATATCTTCAGTAGCTTCAGATTTTCACTCATCCATTAGGTCCTAGAACTGGAAAAAATACAGTAAAACAACAACTACAAATTACATTTGTATAGCGCCTTTCATGTCGAGAAGATGGCCCAAAACACTGGACAGTCAGGGATTTGGATGGACGCATTAATTTGTTTTTTAAAGCAATAAGACCTATTGCTAGAAAAGGATCACTTAATTGTGATATTTCTGATATTCATGTAAAAGGTTGAAATTCTTTGCAATTCTTTATCAATGAAATAATTGAAATAATATATTCCAGATACTTTCCTGAGGCCAATATAAAACAATAGATTTAAATTTATATAGTGTCTTTCATGTTGGAAGGACATCTCAAAGGGCTTAAATGATAACCCTGTTGCTGATGCTATGTGTAAAATATTTTGTCCCTACACTTTGAAGTAACTTGAATTCCATAATTGAGGATGAAAGATTGAGCTTTTGGATGTCGAGTTTTCTGACAAAATGCCAACTGATGTTTTTAATAATAATAATAATAATATTAGTAATAATAATAATCCTTCTATTTGATATAGCGCCTTATCCATATCCGAGATGTCTCAAAACGCTTCACAGAATATAATAACAAGTGAATTGACTGTGTATTTTGTGGGCAAAACATGGCAACCAATTGAGCATAGTATTTTCCCATGAACAGTCGTGGATTGAGTGACTAAATTATCTTTTTAATTTGGAAGGAATTATTACCCTGGGATTAGCAATCCACCAATTGACTAAGAACCGAGTTCCTACTTAATGTTAGGTGAACAGAGGCATGTAGAGTAAGAAAACTTGCCTTGCCCTGCAACATTTTGCCCTGCCGGGAATCGAACTCAGGTCCTCTCACTTGCGAATGAGTGCTCTAACTGATACCTCAACAAAATTAGATTTGTATAGCGCCTTTCACATTGGGAGGATGTCCCAAGGTGCTGGACAGTCAGTGTTTCAGACCCGAGCTAGAGATCAGGATTGGGGAGGTTGGACGGCAGGGAAGCAGGGTGATCGAAAGCACAGTCGAAGAGGAGAGTCTTGAGAAGGGTCTTGAAGGTGGTAAGAGAGGGGGCAAGGCAGAGGAACTGTGGGATGTAGTTCCAGCGGGTGGGGGCAGAGTGGCAGAAGTCTCACCCGACAATGGTGGTGCGGGCAAGGCGGGGGACATGAAGCAGGCTTGAGCCCGCTGAGCAGAGGGAGCAGGCAGGATGGTAGGGGGTTAGGAGGTCGCAGAGGTAGGGGAGCAAGGCCATGTTGGACTCTGAAGGTGAGGACCAGGATCTTGCACTGTATCCTCTGTGTGATGGGAAGCCAGTGGAGTCGGGCGAAGATGGGGGTGATAGGGTCAAGGAGCCTGGTGTGGGAGAGGAGTTCTGGATGATCCGCAGCCTATGGAGGGAGGAGTCGGGGAGGCTGACAAGCAAGGAGTTTGCATAGTCAAGCCTTGATGTTATGAATGCGTTAATGAGGGTTTCGGCGGTCTGCGGTGTGAGACAATGACGGAGCCGGGCGATGTTGCAGATGTGGGGGAAGGCAGAGCGGGTCATGGCACAGATGTGCGGCAGAAAGGATAGTTGAGTTAGTTGATACGCTACCGGACACAGATTATGTAATACTAGCTGTACCTGTTGCAACTACGCTTGCAACCAAAGGATACAATATGGAATGTAGATTGACACACAGAGAGAGAGACAGACAGACATTTCATCTTTATCTATACTCATCTGGGAAGACTCCTGGAGAAGGACTCATTTTGGCCATGCTGTTCTTTGTGTGGGCAACTCACTTTGGCACGTTGTTGTAGTCTTTTCAGCAATGAAGTGCAGCTGCACTGTTCTTTGCTCTTCAGTTTCATTTAATGGGCCTTCTCTCTTTTGTCTAGCATTTTTACTTATCTTTGAAATGTTTGAGTTTTGCTTAGGCATCTTTATAATGATCAATATAAATGTATAACTTATAGTCACTGGGACATCTTCCTGATCTGAAAGACGCTTTAAAAATGTAATTTTATTGTTGTTGCCATGGCTTAGCTTTATGCGTGTTCTTTATTTTGTTCCTGCTGTCGCTTGGCTACATGCATGCTCCGTGAGGCAGGATGCCATAGCGCCTCAGTCAGCCCGTGCGGCCACAAGGCGTAACTGTAGTGGGTGCGTGCATACGCAGGTGCTCTGTGATGCATGATGCACAACGTCACTTTAACTTGGTGGCCACCAGGTATAACTGAAGTGAAAACCACAAAACGGAAATACATTTTAGGTCACAATTCGTGACTGATAGGAGATATCGAAAACAAATATGCCCATGACACTCCTAGATGCAAGATCTTTCCGATGAGGTATAAATCATGTCTCTATATCAATTGATTATTGAGATCCTTCTTGAAGTGCAGACAGACAGACAGACAGACAGCAGATACTGTTGTTTTATTAGTATAGAAGATAGATATAAATTAATTAATGCATTAAATGGTTAATATCTATCTCGGATGACATGGTGCATGCATCTGTTGCGAAAGTCACATGGCCAGCTCAGTTGGTAGCGTTCTTGTTTCTCAGTCAGAAGACTGTGGGCTTAATAATAATAATAATAAAACAGACATTTCATATAACTTGCCTGCAAATGAATGTAATCTGCAGTTGGAATTGGAAATCCTGCTGAACTATCAAATTTTTCTTCAAAAGTAGATTGTGATGGGGAATAGTACTATTGATCAGCTTTGCATCCTTTTGGTTACAGAAATCGCTTAGAATCATTTATATAGTGCCTTTCACCCAGGTAGTATCTTGGAGCACTTAACAGTGGCGGAACCTGAAACCCAGGTGGGGGGAAAGGGTATGGTGACTGTAGGCACGGTTGAGGAGGAGGTCTTCAGGCGAGATCTGAAATGGGGAAGGAAGGGGCAAGGTGGAGCGATTGAGGAAGATTGTCCAAAGTTTCAGGGCATAGTGGGTGAAAGCATGGCCACTTATGGAGCGGAGAGGTGAGGGATAAATGGGGGGCTGGAGGCAACGGAGTGGAGGCAGCAGGTATTGGTATTGGAGACCAGGCCGGAGGAATTTTCACAACCTACACTGTAAATATGTCACAAACGTGAAAGATCACATAACTCAACAGTGATTTTGTCCCTACTCTGTGAAAGCCGTTTTTACCAGAAGAAAGGATAAAAAAAAAATAAAATGGAAGGTAGAGAATTATAAATAAGAGACACTAGATATATCTCTGTGGCTTATAAGAGAAATCCAATCGAGGGGTTCAGGTGACATCAGATGAGTGATTTACATTCCTCATCTGAACCCCTCAATTGGATTATTGTCTTATATTCACTGAAGCATCTGGCATTATTATGTAGTAGATAATTAATTTTTCATATAAATAGAGACAGGAAGATAGGAATAAACAGGTCGGAGAGGTAGAGAAGTGCCAGAGCATAAACAAGAACAACTTGCACCTATATAAGCGCCTTTCACGGAGGGTAGTGTCTCAGAGTGCTTAACAGTGGTGGAGCCTGACTCCGAGTTGGAGGTGGGGGGGCGATGGGTGGATGGGGAGGGTGGCCACGGGGGGTGGGTGCAGGGTGGTAACTGTAAGCACAGTCGAAAAGGAAGGTTTTCAACAACAACAAAATTACATTTATAGAGCGCCTTTCACGTCAGGAGGACGTCCCAAAGCGCTGAACAGTCAGCTGTCGGGGCCCGAGCATGGGGGAGGGGTGGTGTAAGGGTGAGGGAAGGCAGAGAGGTGGGAGGGAGACCAAAGGCACGGACGAAGAGAAGGGTCTTCAAACCAGCCTTAAAGGAGGCAAGGGAGGAAGCGAGGCGAAGAGACCGTGGGATGGAGTTCCAGAGTGTGGGGGCAGAGAGGCTGAAAGCCCAGCCACCGATGGTAGGGCGGGTCGGGTGTGAGACATGGAGCAGGCTATCTTTCTGTCTTCACCCTCAACTCCAGGATCACTGCTGCCCTGACACCCTTCTTGTCGGCCTTCCCAACTCCTTCCTCCACAGGCTGCAGATAATCCAGAACTCTGCAGCCCGTGTCCTCTCCCGCACCAAACTCCGTGATCCCATCTCCCCCATTCTCGCCCGACTCCCTATCCTTCAGAGGACCCAGTTCAAGATCCTGGTTCTCACCTATAAAGCCCTCCATGGCCTCGCCCCACCCTACCTCTGCGACTTCCTAACCCCCTACCAACCCGCCCGTTCCCTCCGCTCAGCCGGCTCTGGCCTGCTCCACGTTCCCCAGCCCACCCGGCCCACCACCCCACCAGAGTGGCCTTCAGCCATTCTGCCCCCAACCTCTGGAATTGCATCCCCCAATCACTCCGCCTCGCCCCCTCCTTAGCCTCCTTCAAGTCCCGCCTCAAGACCCTCTTCTTCGACCATGCCACCCCACTTCCCCTCCGCTCCCTTCTCCTCCCCTGACCCCAGCTCGGGTCTGAAAAGCTGTACACTGTCCAGCACCTTGGGATGTTCTACCAACATGAAAGGTGCTATACAAATGTAATCTTCTTGTTGTTGTAAAGAAATTATGTACCTTTGTACAATGCCTTATTATTTCAAAGGAGAAGCTGCTCAGACACTGAGGCATTTTCTCTTTTGGCTTCTAACATCTAACAATACAATCCTTGCGTTTGATGTAGTGCCTTACAATATTGGCAAGATATCTCAAGGTGTTTCACATGATATATTCTAAAGTGCTGTGACTGTGTGTCATCATTTGAAAATCACAGAAGAAAACATTTCCATTTTTATATTGCCTCGGTGGGCTGTTATATGCAACATAAAAATCACATGAAGCTGTTTTAAAGTCACATAAGTTCATTGCAAGGAACATTTCATGCATAAGGGGTTGTGTTTTTGTTTTTTAACCAATAGTAACTGATCAACAACAACTTGCATTTACATTGCACCCTTCGTAATAATAATAATAATATAATAATAATCCTTGCATTTGATATAGCACTTTTCACGTCGGGAGGACGTCCCAAAGCGCTTCACAGAACACACTGTAAAGTGAATTGACTGTATATT